AATTTCAGGCTTGGGTGTTTTCAATTTTGTTCTTATTTCAAAAATGATTTTCTTTATCTGCAACCTTCGAATGCTTTCTAAATCTACTGAATAACACAGTTGTATGACAATTTAAGGAGCACTATTCATTAGTTGATAAAATCTGCTCTGTTTTTTTTATCACGAGAGATAATGTGTCAATTCAAAATCCAACCAATTGGTCATAACTATTAAAAAGAAGGCTTATGAATATACTGCCTAGGATCTTCCTTGTCAATTGTTGTAAATATTTTTGAAACGGCTTTCATTGAAACCCTGGGCAATATAAACATTTTCCCCCTCACTTGCAGTGAAGTTTCCCCAGCCCTTCACACAGTATCAATGTTCTGATCTCTGCTGCCACTCAAGACAGTCAATGTTTCTGGCTGCTGAACCAATGATTGGGAAAAAAACCAACCCTCTCATGTTCAAATTGCAACGATGACATGGCAAGAGCAACTTAGAAATTTCATAGAGCCCCCCTTGTTAAAATTTTACGACTACATCCCTGGTTAGAAACTCCAATTCCAATTTCATTTAATAAGTGCAGGGTTAACTGGATGCAAACGCAGAATGAATGGAAAAATGAATTATCGATGAATGAATGACCGTGATATTAGAGAGAGCAAAATTCATGGTATTCTAGAATCACACCAGTCGTTTATCTGACCAAATAGATCTGTTATAAAATTCAATACCACAAAATTAATTCATTGGCTTTTGTGCTAATCTACCAGTATCAACTTACATTCTGTCTTTCCTTTCCTTTCCTGCTGCTTCCAGGAGATATTCTTGCACTAAAGATCCTTTCCTGTTATCACTGTATATCCAATAACCAGGCTAGGCCGCAAGTATCCTGTATCTATCACTCAAACAATAAATGTGTAGGCCAGCTACAAAATGTCTTTATAAAGACAATTGTTTAAGTATTTTGGCGTAAGTACGACGTTGTTACTACAGCAAATTTTCAATATAGGATAAATTCTTATTTTGCTATTATTCAATGCGCTATGTTCTGGCTTTTCTTGCCTTTTTTGCCATTGTTGCCATAGACGTAACTAGCCTGTCAAAAAAGAAAAGTAACGTGTAGAAGACAAATGGAAATCGGTGAAACTGTTTTTCTCCGTGCTCGGATATATGCTAACGCATTCTACATAACACATATAAACGCAGTGGTCAGGCACGTTAATGCTGGGGGTAGGGAAGGGGGAATGTCACACACCACAGTCTTTGAAATCTTTTGAATTGGTTGGAAAATTTGTGAACAAGTAAACAATCTAAATTGTAATTCAAATGCGTATTTACATCAGAGAATAATTTTACATAACGCTGATTCCGAGCATTCAGCAAATTCAGAAAGAAAAGACAGAAACCATATAATATTTAGGCTCTGTAAGTAAGGGCTTAATACAATTATCGTACAGAATTACAATTAGCTTATTTTCAGTTGGAAATTTAGTACCCTTTGCCCTGCCAATAATATCCGTCAAATTGCGTCCAAGATATTCATGCAGAACTTTTGCTTCAAATAACTGCAAGAATATGTTGTTATGGAGGAGCACAGCAACTTACTACCTCATGACTATGACATGAAAAAGTACGAGCAGCTGTTGTAAAGTTTATTGCTGTCGATGTTGATTCAAAAGATTTTGATAAATTTGCCAGAAATAGTAATTTTTGGTAATTTTACTGAGTATTCGTGAACGTCCATACTTATGAGCAGTGCAATCTTCATGATGCCAATTAAAGTGGTATTGAAATGCTGTATCCTACCATTCCTCATTAATAGACGAATCGTTTTAATCAATTTCTGTATCTCCTTTATTCAATCTAGAATGCAGCCCCTTATGCTCCTCTCAACTAAAAAATTTCCTTAAAACGCCTGCAGGTTACATATATTACCAAACCGAATTATTGAGAAGGTTTCTCTCAATATACCTCAAATCATCAATAGCTTCAAAGTATGTTAATCAAAAACTTTAAAGTAGCTTTTTTCGGTAATGAAGTTGCAATAGCGAAAATAATATCATCCCTTGACATAAAATCTGAATTACCGGTAGTGAAGCCTATTGTAATGTGTTGGTTTTGAGAAGGGCAGGGTTAGCTTGCTTTTGGGTAAATCAGTTTTTTGTCCTAATGTGGTTTAGAGGGCGCGTTCTATTTTGAACAGCTTTTTATCATATCAGTTTTATCTGAAGTCAGTGTATAGATTCTTTGTCTGTCTCAAAACGACTTTACAACATCTACTAAATGTTTATGATAGACAAGTCAAGAGATAAAATTAAGAGCAGATACAAAGATTCTTGATAGATGCGGTTCTTTGATTGGCTAACGTCGCCGTTATATATCTTCCTAGGCCAAGTAGTAAATTAATGCTGAAAGGATCTTTTCAGAATCTAATCCTCTTAAATCTCAATCTTATCAATTAGACGGCTTATTTCTCGCGAAATAAGACTTTGATTTTGAAAATAGGGTATCTTTATACTGTCAAATTGGAAATCACTTCTGACGTCTCTTTAAAATTGATGGTTTTGAGAGAAGATTGTCATAGCTGTTCATCGTCATATTCGTCTCCCATTTCCGGCATGTTGCCATGTCGGGGACTAGATCACTCTCTTCCATCGTTCTCTGTCCAGTTCATCCACTTCTCTTATTCCTAGTACTTCCATGTCCTTCTTGATGTTGTCCATCCTTCTTCTTACTGGTTTTCTTCTTGGCCTTCTTCCTTTCACCTCTAGGCCCACAGTTCTCTTCACCTCATCTTCAGGTTCCATTCTCATGACATGTCCAAACCACCTCAATCTTGATCTTCTTATTATTGTTGTTATACCCTCCCACTCCGAGGTCTCTACTTATATTTTCACTTCTCTGTCTTCCCTTAAGGTCACTCCCCTGATCCTTCGCAGCATGTTGATGAAGGCAGAGTTTTTATGTTTCCATGAGCTCTACTTTCCAAGTGAATGTTCATTTGATAATCAATAAATCTCAAAACAGGCTGCAATTTATGTAATAGTGTGTCTACAAGATAATTGTTTTTCTTATTCTTAATTCCATGATTTGATTTTCAAGTGAAAATATTTTGTGTTTAGCAAAAATATTTTCAGGCATGCCCGCATTTTTTTTTCTTTCTTTATTTGAAGTTGGGACAATTTCTAGCTATGCATACAAGCTAATTAAAACCAACTAATTTAAATTACCAGCGCTAAATATAATATAAATCAAATATAACCGATGTTGCTAACGTATTCCTTGAAAAGATTACAAGTACAGTTAAACGATGTAAATTTTGAGATCTTTTTCTTGAATATTGATAAAGTAGGGGAGTACTTTATCTCATTTGGAACTGAGTTCCATATTTGGCTACATCTGTATGATACGGTAATATATCCATATATTTTGTAATATGGCTCCGCTGTTTTGAATTGGGAGTTTCTTAAGTAATATGGGCATTCATTTATGGAAAATATTTCATCCATAAAAGGTGGATTCAACCCGTTAAATGTTTTGTAAATTTCTATCGTAAGATATTGTAAAAATTTTTTATGAGAAGTTATTGTTTTATTCTTTATTTAAAGTTGTTCAAACGTTGATTCATAATCACCATGAGCTATTCTTATTGCTCTTTCATGAATCCGGTTTATCCGGTTATTACTTTTCCTACTGCAAAACATCCAAATAAGAGGACAATAATTAAAATATGATAATATGAACGTCTTTATTAAAAGAATTCGCGTAGATTTGTCCATATACGAAGCAATCCTGGCTAGAGCGTTTACCTTTTCCCCGGCTTCTTTCTAAAAAACTTTAATATGTTCTTCTAATCTAAGTTGATGGTCTAGTGTTACTCCCAAAAATTTAACATTCTTACTTTCTATTATAGCAGACCCATTTATTTGAATTTTAGATTCCTCTTAATTGGATCGATTGGCTTTAAATGTTATAAGCTTGCTTTTATCGCCATTGAGCACCAAACAATTTGCATAAAACCATTAATTAAGAATAGCGGCTTCCGATTCTAAGTCGTCAGTTAGTTCATTCATATCAGTACTTGACAGCCAAATTGTATTGTCGTCCGCGTAGTTGCTTAAGTTGCTTTTGTTCAAATGCAGAAAAATATCATTTATGTAAATATTGAAAAGCAACGGGCCTAAGATTGATACTTGAGGAACTCCTTGCTTTGTTTCCATCCAATCACTAAAATCTGAGTTTATTTTTACTCGTTGTACTCTTTTATCTAGATAACTATACATAAATACCATTGCGTTGTCGCTAAAGCCATAAGATTTCAGTTTGGCTAGTAGAAGTATATGGGGTAAACAATCAAATGCTTTTGATAAATCCATAAACACTGCACCAGCCACATCTTTTTTATCCAGGCACTTTTTCAGACCTTCAATAAGTCGTAATAAAGCGTGTTGTATGCTATAACCTTTTCTGAATCCACAAAGCAAAGGGAACAATTTAACACTGACGTAATTATAGATTTGATTGAATATTATTCTCTCAAATACCTTTGAAGCTGAGGGGAGCAAACTTATTGGTCTATAATTCCCTTTACTAGTTGAATCTCCTTAATAGGGCACACATTAGCCATTTTCATAAGAAAGGGGAACGTTATATCAGAAATAGATCGATTGAATATTCCAGCTAGTTGTCCAGAGACAACGTCTATTACCATTCTAAGAACTTTTTTTTTGGGGGGGGGGATGTTATCGGCTCCTGTTGATTTGTTTTCCTTTAGGTTGTAAATTATCTCTCTCACCTCCTTGGAAGTAACATTTTCAAAGTTAAACTTAGGAAATTGATCAAACGTTTCCTTGATTTTTGAAATACTACAGTGGTTTTCAAAGCATTTCAATTACATGCAATTACATTTAATTAATAGCAAATTACGTGCTATTACCTGTTTCTCTTTCGAAGCTAGCTGAAGCAATTTTTTGCATTCTACTTTTTATAATTATGGTTTCATTCTCTTTAAACAGGGTACATCCTGTCTATTAAACTCAAGCTCAATCCTTTGATGGGAAGATTCAAGCAGAACGAAGCAGATGAATGACAAGGTATGCTAGTTGGTCCCTAAATTTAATTCACCGTATGAAGGGATGTTTTTTAACGTTTAGATTGTGTGGATTTAAAAGTTGATTTCTTTCACTTAATAAAGATGAAATCTTTATCTAAAAAATTACATCTTTATCAAATTAGTTTTGAATCTTTGTAACTCTGAAATAGTGACTATTTGACCAACTCTTTTTTCTTTTTTTCTAAAAAATCAAACCGTGTCCTTTTGATTAAACAAAGCTACTTCCAAGTTATCAAAAGAATCACCAAGGCTTAGAAGTATATTTGAAGTTTGAAGTATATAAAACTTGACTGTTTACCCAAATCTATATCATTGTCCTTTTGTTAAAGTTCAACTAAAACTATATAACATAAAATGAAAATGATATTAGATCTTAAAGTTTGTATTTTCAAGCAAGCTTTAAAAAATTAGATTATCGTTAAACCAGATTTCTTCCTATAATGACATGTAAAGAATAGATACAACATATTTAACCAACCACACTTAAGTAACATATTTATAAGTTAATAAGGAACAAACCTCCGATTGATATTCAGTAAGATTAATTGTATTCAGTGAGATTAAGGCTTTATGCTAAAACATTTTAAAGGAAATGTCCATCCTTAAAAGTGACTTCCTTCAACCGCCATTGCCATAAATTTAAGAAAATCAGTTGTTTCTATCTGCTTTAAATTCCTATAAGGTTACTGTCTTTTTAAAGAAATTCCATTTGAAAAATAGTTGTGTTTTCCATAGTCAATTGCCTTTCCTCTTGTCAAAAATAACCAATTGTAGAGGATTGCTATTTTCAATCAGAAATGTCCTTCCAACAAGCAAACTGTTTTTATCTGATTCTCTTTGTTTATTGCTGTTTTGAAGCTCAATTCCAAAAGCAGAACACTGGCTTTTTTCTAAACATTTTCCTATGCTGAAAATAAAATACTTTTGTCAAAAATAGTCTGAAGCTGAAAAAGTTTGTTTTCGTTAGCTTCTGATTTTATTTAAACAATTTTATTTTGCTATGGAGAAAAAGTTTTCGCCAAAAATAATTCCTTTCCAAAATCTTGAACCTTGGCTTGCCGTAAATTGCCCATTCTAAACATTTATTATTTTCTTTCTGAGATTCTTTCAAAAAATTTATAAAAACTGTTGCTCTGATTGAATTGAAAATGTTAATTGCTGCTTTCAAGAAAGTAATTTTACCTAGAAATTAACTCTTTTTAAGACCCAAGGAACTTGCTTTTCGCCAAAAAGTTATTGAGCAACAGAACTTCCCTTAAGCTTCCTCTATATGCCATCAGAGTACTTAGACACAATACTGTTTTTCTATAAAAAAAATTTTCACCAAAAAATCAGCTCTTTTTAAAAGTCTATAGCTTTGCCCTACTGCCAAAAGTGTACTATGCTGACAAATAATTGTTTCAAAAATAAATGATCTGAAACTTGAAATACAAAGTTGATACTGTCTACTTCTGATTGCACTGAATATGTTTATTCCCATTTTGAAGAAAAACATTTCACCAAAAAAATTAGCTGTTTTACTAAGTCTTACCAAAAATTGCTTATCCTAACAAGTAATCATTTCCATAAAAATTTCCAATATTTTGCAAAAATTATTGTTTCTCTTTGACCATTCAATATATTTATTCTTATTTTGGAGAAGAAGGGTTTGCCTAAAAAGTAAAGTCCTTTTCGAAAGTCTAAAGCCTTTTTTGCCAAAGAGTTCCCTATGCTAAAAAGGCTATTTTCATCAGAAATTGATTTAGATTTAAAAAAGTGAGTCATTTCGATCAGCTTATTTCATCATAAAGTATTACTGTCATTCTAATGAAAGAACTTTCAGGTAAAATTTGTTATTTTCCAAGGCCAAAACCTTGCATCTTTGTTAAAAGTGGCCTATCTTAACAAGTCCTAGATTTCAATAAAACACCCTAAGATTATACCCAAAAACTTCTAATTAATCTATTTATCATGTTTTGGTGAAATTCACCTCTTTCCAAGGCTTATAGCTTTGCGTCATCTACAAATAGTTACCCATACTAGCAAGTCATTATTTCTATAATTACGCCCTTAATTTTGTTTTCCTCTGATTCTGGTTCCAATTAGTAAGTTTTGTCAATTAAAAGATAAAATTGCAAACAAGAAAAATCAGCTTTTTCAAATGCCAATGGACTAACATTTTTGCAAAGCTTCTTCCCAAAGCCTAAGGTCTCTCCATTTTGCAACAAATTCTCTATCCTCACGTGGCATTTCTTCCATCAAAATAAGCTTAGATATGAAATACAATTTATCTATCTGTTTCTATTTGCAATTACTAAGTTTATCTCTGTTTTAAGATAGAAAATTTACCCTAAAATGACAGATTTTTCCATAGACTATAGCCTGACAAATTTGGGAAAAATTACCGATCCTAAAATGTCATTGTTTCTGCCAAAAAAATCTTAGATTTAATAAAAATAAGTGTTCATGTATTCTTTGTTTGTAAATGCTAAGTCTATTTCTGCCTAAATATACATATTTACCTAAAAGGTCCGCATTTTTCTATACTATAGCCTTAAAGCTTTGAAAAAATCCTATCCTAACAAGTTATTTTTTCTAACAAACAGTTCCGAAAAATTAAACGAATGATCGTTATCCTCTGTTCTGATGTAAATCGCAAGTTATTTCTTTTCAAAGATAAAAATTTTATCCAAAAATCCCAGTTTTTCAAAGCCTATAGCCTTACAATTTTTGCAAAATATAAAACTTTTACTCTAAAAATTCAGCTTTTTTAAAGCCTATAGTCTTCCAGTTCTTCAAAAAAATTCCTTTTTGCTTTTTATTATAATAAGTGTGTATCTTTCTGTTTAAATATAAAAACGTTACCCTAAAAGGTCAGCATCTCTTCAAAGCCTATAGCCTTGAAATTCTGCAAATAATTGCCCATCTTAACTAGTCATTATTTCAATAAAAAATTTTCTTAAATCTCAGAAAAATCAGTTCTCTTCTGCTTCTGATTGTAATACGTTAGTTTATTCTCTTTCAATTATAAAAATTTTACTCTAAAAATTCAGCTTTTTTAAAGCCTATAGTCTTCCAGTTCTTCAAAAAAATTCCTTTTTGCTTTTTATTATAATAAGTGTGTATCTTTCTGTTTAAATATAAAAACGTTACCCTAAAAGGTCAGCATCTCTTCAAAGCCTATAGCCTTGAAATTCTGCAAATAATTGCCCATCTTAACTAGTCATTATTTCAATAAAAAATTTTCTTAAATCTCAGAAAAATCAGTTCTCTTCTGCTTCTGATTGTAATACGTTAGTTTATTCTCTTTCAATTATAAAAATTTTACTCTAAAAATTCAGCTTTTTTAAAGCCTATAGTCTTCCAGTTCTTCAGAAAAATTCCTTTTTGCTTTCTATTATAATAAGTGTGTATCTCGTTCTGTTTAAATATAAAAACGTTACCCTAAAAAGTCAGCATCTCTTCAAAGCCTATAGCCTTGAAATTCTGCAAATAATTACCCATCTTAACTAGTCATTATTTCAATAAAAAATTTTCTTAAATCTCAGAAAAATAAGTTCCCTTCTGCTTCTGATTGTAATACGTTAGTTTATTCTCTTTTAATTATAAAAGTTTTACCCTAAAAATTCAGCTTATTTAAAGCCTATAGTCTTACAATTCTGCCTCAAATTACCTACTTTAACAATTTGTTTGTATCAAAAATGTTTTAGATCTCTTCAAATCGTTGTTTCTTTTTGTTTCTGATTGTATTTTGTGAGTTTATTTCTTATTCACTTTGCAAATTTTACCCTAAAAATCAGTGTTTCTTCAAAGCCTATGACCTTACAATTTTGCCTCAAATCTTATTAAATTGATATTTCTATTAACAATGTCTTAAATGTTAAAAAAATCGTTGTTTCCCTTTGCTTATGTTTGTATTTTGTAGGCTTATAATTTTACTCTAAAAAGTCAGCATTTTTCCAAAGCAAAAAGATTAGCTATCCTAAGAAATCGTTATTTCTACCAAAAATTTCCTAACCCTTAAAAAAATTATTGTTTCCAACTTCCTCTGATTGACCTTAATAAGTTTCGTTTTGTTTATTAACAAATTTTATCAAATCAAATTCAATTTTTTCCAAAGGCAATAGCTTTACAATTTTGCAAAAACACTACTTTTCCTAACATGTCATTATTTCTATCAAAACTGCTTAATTCTTAAAGAAACACTATTGTTTGTATCTGTTTGGATTGCAATTATGAAGTTTTTTAGGTTAAATGTAAAAATTTACCCAAAAACTAGTTATTTTCCAGAGCTTATGGCCTTCAAATTTTGACAAAAATTTCCTATCATAGCATGTCGTTATTTCTATCAAAATGTCAGAAATCTTGATAAAATTATTGTTTCTACCTACTTCAAATTGTTTTTAATATATTTATTTCTGTTCTGGAGTAAACATTTACCCAAATAATCACTTTTTTCAAAGCCTGTAGCTTTGCTTTGTGCCCGAAAATTCAATGCTAACAAATCATTAACCACTTGAGCCTTTAAAGAAAATTTTTATTTTGTCTGCTAATGGTTGTGTAAAAAGCATCATTTTTGTCTAATGGAAAACTTGGACACAATAATGAGCCTTTTTCAAAGTCTATAGCCTTATAGCTTTGTCAAAGAATTGCCTATCCATCACTGTTCGTTCTGCTTCTTATACTATTAGATAAATTTGTTCCTTTTTATGAGGAAATTTTCTACTTACTTTCTTCCCACTCCTTACCCTTGCATTTTCGCGAAAAATTGTCCAAGCCATAAATCTTAAGAAAATTATTGCTTCTTCTGCTTCTGATTGAATATTTATTCTTTGAAGAATGGTATTTTACGTGAAAAATTAGCTCTTATCACACCCCACTACCTTGCATTTTTTTAAAAACAATGTCTATGCTGAAAAGTGATTATTTTGCAGAATAAATGCCCTTAATGTAAAAAAATATATTGTCTGTATCTGATTGTATTTAATAAGTTTCTTTCCTTGTTGAATGATTCTTTTCACCTTAAAATCAGCAATTGTTCAAAGCATATAACCCATATGTTTCCTCAAAGCATATAGCCATCATTTTATCAAAAATTGTTGCTTCTATTTATTCTTTCAATGGTATCAAAAAAAGTCTGATTTTGCTTTGTAGGAATATTCTATGATTTCATTTCAAGGAGGAAGGGGAGTAGAGAGAGGCTCTAGGGTCATATTCAAAATGATCTGTTAAATAATGTAACATGGCATGATCATCAGATTAGGAACCGGAAAAAACAAGTACGAATGTTGAGACGTTGAGAAGAAGAAGCATTAGCGAAAAAAATTTGTTGGTCTGCCCTGATGTTCACCAGTTAAACGCACAGCTATAAAAACATTGAGTGGTTATTCACGAAGAAGAAAAGAGGTTTATTCACGCAAAATTTTCTAAATTCGAGATGAAACACGTTTGCTTTAAATAACTTTCATCCTGGTTTTAGGCCATTTCGAAAACCCGACAAAATGTTGCTATCAGCTTAAAAAATTCTTTGAAAAACAAATGGCAAAAGTAGTTGACTGCCTATATCATCAAAAAGATTCAGTTTGGTTTGGAAAACACGAGTCAGCACGATTTCCGAACGGCTAAAAACTCGAAAATACTGCTAGGCCTGTGGGAGATTAGAATGTTTGTGCTGATGCCCCACTGTCCTGTCACGTAATGCTAAAAGCACAAAGAAATAAATAACAAAAATAATTAATAAAAATTGCTGAATAGGTGCATATAGGATACGAAGCCTGGTTTTGACTTCAAAGAAAAGATTGCCGCGTTAAAAAGATTCCACACTAGATATCTAAAAAAACTCTATTTTTGGACAAAAAGCGATTAGATACTCCTTTTGGGGGACTTATCAGAACAATTCAAAAGTAAAATTGCTAAAAAGAAAATGGTTCTAAAAAGACTAACAAGACGAGGGTGAAGATGATGTCATGACAAAAACGATGACTGACAATCGTGATCACCGGTCATAAATTTGCTGCACGAACTATATGCTAGAGAAGAAAACTGCACAGTAAATAAAGCTACGTTATCTTCGAAATAATCGATTTTATTGATCATGAAAATTCTTTCAACTAAAATGGTAGCGATAATCTGCAAGTCTTGGCTTAAAAATGGTTCCTTGAGTAAACTCCTTTTTCTCCTAAGTTTCAATAAGCTGATGGACCATTTGCTCTTTTGTTATGAGGTGAGTTGTTTTATTAAGTAAGGACATGAGTTCTGTAACGTTGTGTGACCATTCATTCAAAATATCATTGGCATCTTTCACTGGTCGAAACGTGACAATCCCAGCAGGTCTATCGATCTTGGCGTAAACAGTTTTTGACGTCACTAGATTTGAAAGGAACTCTTCTGATTCCTGGAAAAGAAAAACTAAAATTGAAGGACACAGTTCAGGAAATTTTAAGAATAGTTTGAGATAATAAATTATGATCACCTTAATTCAAACTGAATCCAAAAAGATTGGAAGCTGGTTGAAGCAAACTGTAAATGTAAAGTCTACCTTACATATTATCTGCAGGCTGACTAAGTGCAATGTGCAATAAGGTTTCACACTCGAGTGAAGATGTGTCTACAAAAACAGCTAGTATCTTGTACACGGCTCCTGTTCGTTGAAAATGGGTTGTAAAGATGTTCAATGATAATTTACAAATTCCAAGCAGTTTGAAATAGCATTTGCTTCTGGCACTTTATTAACTTAAAGAGGAGACTGCAAAAAGTGCAAAAAGGCACAGAGAGATGTAAAATGTCGCAAAACTGGGAACTTACATCGATGGACAAATCAAGCAGTTGTGCCATACGCTTCACTGTCAATCTAGTGTAATACTTTTCCATCACACGAATATTCTGCGAGAATAAAATGATGTAACAACTTAGGTCGAAATATGGAGTTTTGCATTCAGCCAGTTTAGTAGTGGGAAACAAAAGCACATGCAAGCAGCGTATCAAGTAAACACTCATCAGTAACATAAAAAGGGGGTATCTGGAAGCCATTTAAGTACAAATGAGTCCATCAAAAATCTAGTGCTCATTTTTAAAGGTTCGTTCATAGGTTTTGTAAACTTGGCCTGTTATCGCCGACTTTCACTGTATAAACCTCGACTTTCACTCAACTCCCTTTTTCGATTACTCTTGGGAAAAAATTTGACTTGAAAATGCAAAAAAGCGACTAACTACTATAAGCCATTAAAACATTTCCACCATTGATACAATAAGGCACAAACCGAAATCTCAAATTCGATGCGATTGAAACTTGATATATAAATTCTTTAGCCTATAAAGGGCATTAAATTGCGAAAAATATTCCATCAAAATTGGATATCTGAATACTATATTTGAATAAAATCGACAAAAGCAACACCCTTGCACTCTAATAGTCTCCTAACATCATCCCTCAACAATCATAAAACTTAAATATAAACTGCAGGATCTAGCATGAATTTGCAGATTCGATTTCAAAATTCTTGCCCTTTATTGAAACAAGGTAATGGTCTGGAACAATGCAAAATGATGACAAGAATCCAATGTTGTGCAATACAACTTTGAAGTAAATTTGATAGAAGCAATGTTTTGCCCTGACGTACAAGGCTTCATTTCAGTGAATATATCACATTTTTACACGCTGCAAGATTCACAGCATCCGGGGACAGCCTACCCCGTGTTTCTTTCTTTTTACATCTTTTATAGAAAATCTGCTATCGTAGTTTCCCTTGTCTTTTCATTACTTACCATGAGATTTTTCAGTACTGGCATTAAGATCTTCCTAGAAATCCCTGATTCTACCTCAAATAGCCAATATAAAATCGACTTATCTGAGAAACTCATGTTTGCCATCAAATTACAACAATCGAAAAGTCAAAAACTCACGTGCTCTACGACTCTCTTTCTGAAATCATCCCAACACTTGTTTCCTCCCTCGCTGTTTCTGTCAAAAACACCAGTGGCTTTTGAACCCGGCAAACCATCGCGTAACTCTTTCTCGCACATAGACGTTAACTGTTTCCACTGAACCAACTCATCAGTCTTGAACAGCTTCAATAAATCTCTATTGTCAAAAAAATATACAAATCTATCAAAAAACTGTTTATTGACATGTTACTGTTGCCTTGGAACAGCATTTACTGGATGTTAAGCTAGATATAAACGATCCTTGCAAAAATCTTTGAAACACCACAACTAAACACTCGAGTTAAAAAGCTTTATCAACATGTTTCTACTTCCTCAAAATTTCAATGTTGTCGATAAATTCTCCTCCGTTCCCCCGTACATCAAGTCCTTAAAAAGTGGTGTTTATGCTTCAAATCTTAGTTTGATTGTTACCAACATAATCCCATTTTGATATTGATCAACGCTGTAACAGGAAGTGGTGGCAACAAGTCGGGCAACTTGAAAAACTGTTAATTTCGTAGGAGTTCCAACAGTTTTGACAATTGTCTGCCAAACACTTCATATTGGCACCAAACAAGATCATCGATATGCTAAACTTGTTTTTATGAACGTTCAAGAGCTGAAGGAATGCAATTTCCGATACTATGAAACAAAACAAATTTACTACCTACCTATATGACGGTACTTCATCCAAATTTTCATCTTCCTTTATGCGGTGCAGAAAATCATTTTGCTCGTTGTCATATGGTGCCAAGACGTTATACAATATTACATTTCGCAGCGCCTGTAAAGGGATAAAAAGTTATTGTTCAAAATTACTGAAAAGTTACTCAGCATGTTGAAAAGCATAGGAAAGCTAAATTCATTCTAACAGTCTCTATCTAAAAAGTTTAATAACTAGCAAAAACATTTATCCGCAGCTGGCATAGACTTTCTGCAAACAATTAATAACAAGATACAAAAAAATTCGGGAAAGATATAAATAAAAGTTATAATGCTATCAAAAGAATCGGTTGTCAAAGTTAAAAACACTCTTTTGTACCAAATTTCTTGATGGTACAAAATTTAAAATTGGCTTTGAAAAAGCAAACATCTAAAGAAATATTGAAAATATACAGTTTAATCCAAATCTAAAAGTTCGTAGAGAGTAGGAGACAAAACTAAAAAGTAAAGTTAGACAAGTTTCGTTTGAATCTAATGATAACGTGTTAAAGGCAAGTGCACAAGTCGATTACCATTTTCTCTCGTGTGATTGAGTGATCGAAGAACGTAAAATTGATTGGGGACTGATTTTCTTTAGTCCGTGTAGATACTTGAAAACTTCAGTTACATTTCGACGCTTGAACTTAAAGCATCTGTCTTGTGTCAAGGAATTTGAGAAGCGATAATGATAAGAACATACCTCTTTCATCTTGTCTTTATCCTCTTTGATACAAGGAGTATCATAAACGGCCCTGTAGTGTCTGCATATTGTGAGATAGTCGTTCTCAAAATGGCCTAATTCGATCATGAGCTGGTAATACTTCAGTTTCAGGTCCTAAAAGTAAATGAAGATAAATTTATTGGTGAGGATTACTACTAGATCGTATTTATCGAAGCAAAAATCGAAGACATGAACAAATACTGTCCATAACGCATGACGTCCGACAGACATAGGATATGCAGCAAGAAAAATCCAATAATCCAATGACACAGAAAAATCTTTTTACACCCAAATTTAATTGCTCAGACATGATTACTAGTATAACATAAAAATAAACAACTGTAGCAAAGCTACCTTGAATTAGCTAATCAAAATTAATTTTTTATTATAATGTTCAAATGTCCAATTTACAACCGACTAAAACGTTTTCGTCTTTGGACTTTTTCTACTTAATTTAGCCTGATTCGCAAAAACCAAAGAAGCTTCTGCTAGAAACACTATACAGTAAAGAAATAGCTTTACGAGTAGAACACAAGTGCAAATGGATTTCATTTCCATCTAAAAGTTTTGTATTTTATCATAATATAAAATAGTATCTATCTGTCTATGGCATAAAAGAGAGCAATGCAATAACTAAAACAGCGAAGAAGTTTTTGTCATGCTTAAGGATTATATTTTTAATGATTGAAAAAACAACAATTTAGAAAGTAAAGTAAAACTTTACTTAAGAAAAATCTCAATGCAAAAGATTCTTACCTGTTCCTTGTCACTATCAAAGAACTTAACACTTATTTTCTTGCTAATAATTTGCGTTCGGATGTAATCTTTTTTGGCAAGACAAAGCCTCATCTGCTCCAGTATAAATTCGACTTTCTCCCTCTTCTCCATCGACCCATAAGTCTCGACCTTAAAACAGTATTAAACTTTCTGTCAAGCACTGAAATATATATGAACTGACAATATTACAAGTATACAACTCAAATATCCGGTCATTGAATCGCATTTTTCACGGAAACATTAAATCTTTATTTGTTACTTTCAGTCAATACTGAAAACTGGAAAAATCCAAAAAATTAAAAGTCTGATAGAAATAACTATCGTTTATAATCTTACAATAAAGGTATCTTCGTCAAATCTCTATAAAAAACCAAAAAGTCACACCGATCAAGCCAACTTGGTGAAATATCAAAATATCAGTTATTGAAATGGTAAGAGAAATAAAAAATCCTGTCAAACAACCCATGTTTATCAATAGTTTAAACCTGAATCTACAGTTCAAACAAAAATTAAACAGCCCAAACCTGAAGCTCTTGGAGAATATTAGCGGCCTCTGCAAAAAACAAAATCGTCCTGATTAAATTTCAGAACACATTAAAAGGGTCACTACCCCTGTCATTTTCGGTGCAATGCACACTTCACTATAAATAAAACCTCTTTTCAACGTACACCTCCTTATAAAAAAATGCCCTTATGACGTATACCATTCTTCAATGCATACCTCTCTTAAATGCACACCTTCCTACAATGGACATTGCACTTTAACTCATACCCCTCTACAACGACTTCATACCTACAACAAAAGTGACTCTGGTCCGAAAGGTGTCAATTGCATGACGCTTCTACAAAGCTACTGACTTTGGCTTTAGGCAGCGATGCAGAAGAGAATCATGGAATGTAGTGAAACAAAGAAACTGCATAAAGCAGGATTAGAAAATTAAACTTGAGAATACAGGATTTTTTTAAAAATGCAACTACGTACTAGGATATATTTCAAATTAACGCGTGAATATGAAAAAGATTAGAGTACCAGACGTTGTGTGTTGGGATATAAGTATGGTTAAAGGTAAAATAGAATAAGGAAGTACTTATAGTGAATGTGTTATGAAACGGAGCAACTAATCTTAAAATCATAAAAGTACCTGATACATCTCCTTGTGCTTCTTTGATTCCAGCTAACTTCCTTGTCAACCTTGCCCGTTCGATTTCAACATATATCTTGAATGATCAAAGAAATATATTATTCAAAGACAATACAAATACTAACAAGAACAATGCAACAATAAAAACGTAGCTACAATACAATGAGTATTGAGCAATGGTATTGAGAAAGACAGCCATTTTGCATTGTGCTAAAATTCTGAGTTGCTACAAACTTGTCACTAGACCTGCAGATAATGGCAGCTGTTGTAAAAGATTTTTATCTTAATAACGATAATTAATGGATATAATTCCAAGTCATCTGAAAATAAGTTGAAATTTTTTAAATTGTATTCGATCCATATAGTGCAACCTAAAAAACAGCTAATTCTGCATTATATTCGACCCAGGAAAAAGCAAAGCTTATCGAATATGGGCCGTTAAAATCGAAGATCGTACCATAAAAAGAAACTACACAAGATAAAAAGGACTTCACACAAGCAATAGGCAGCGCAACAAACATATTTATATATTATGAATTTAACCAAATTGTACAGCTGTCTTGAAATCATCTTGATTTCAGCAAGTTAGCAAAAGATAAAAAATTAATCCTAAACCACATGATTTTGAAATCAATATAGTTTGGAAAGTTCTTAAATATGGATTGAAAGTATAATAACCAATAGGGCAAAGAAGCAATTTCTCATGAATTGAGCTACCTAATTGTGAAAGTTGATTATGGCAATTTTCAAAGTCATCTTGAAAACTTGGTAGCTAGTAGATTATTCCATAGAAGAGCTCCCAGGTAAGGGTGCACATTTATACTCCATTGTTTTTTGTCTTAAAAACCTTGTAATTGTTTCCTTGGCATGTATCGTAATTATGCTTCCTTTCGTTTGCAATGAATATTATTGAAACGATTCATTTAAGAAGTTTCACTGTAGCGGGCACGACGCATGAAATAAATTTGTTTAGATAGAAATGGAGCTTTATACAAGGACAAAAACAACAACCAAAGACTTAATACCTAAAGAAAAAGAAATAGCAGAAACAAATTGCAAATTTCTGGGGATGATGTGAAAAATACGAAAGATCACAAATACGACCAGCCAAGAATAAAAAGTAAAATATAAGAAAATAAAAGTGAAATGCAATAAAGAAAAAGAAGCACACGGTTACGCGAAAAATGCAACAAAATTGAAAATTCAGGCAAACGTCAATGTAGACTATACCATCGTCCATGTACCAACTAATTAGAAAAATAACGGGCCGCAAATTTTGCTTATCATCAGGCTGCAAAGTGCAAGTAACATAAAAGATGGGCATAGTATACTGAAGAGCTATTCAATCATGACACAAGAGAAGAACCAAACATTCAAAAGAACATAGACGGCCTGAAGATTTTACAATCAAAAGTAAGGACGGCAAATAACAAAATGAAAATAAAAAACCGCAGCCGGTCCAGAGACTATAAACGAAATATACAACTGTAGTGATATTCCAGAAGTAATTCGATTTACATAGCTTATCAGAAAAAATCAGATGCTTTAGACTGTGAACTACAAAGGATGACCAGCTAAAGGAGTCAAATGATAAAAATAATCTTGAGGATTATCATGACTAGAGCATGCAGCAAAATCCAGCCAGAAATTGGTGAAGAACATAATGAAAATGCCTTTGAAAAAGCAAACATTTTACAACATACTAAAAGCTTTTTCGCCTGACACTCCTCAGAGTATAACAGAGAAAGAACAAGATGGGAATATATACCTAGTTGTGCCTATAGGAAAATTACCACTGGGGTCCACGAGAGAAAAGGAACGCCCTCTGTAAACACAAAAGCGGCTCTTCCGTTAGTTTGTAGATCGATTCCAAAACTGCTAGATGAAAAGAAGACCTGGCTCTGCCAATTACCTGAAACACGTCGTCATTACAGACCTTGGCACAATCTGGGTTGTCCAAAAGATGTTGACCGATGGCAGAATCACTCGTTTTAACAGTGTTTCTAGACCTACAAGATCGAGGAGGCTGTTTTCTTTGAGGATTCAAAGAAAGAAGCATTTTGTGATAGCCTGAACATAATGGTCTGCAGAAAACACGGGTAAGCGAAACGCCATCTAGATTGTCAGAATGATGTCAGAAAGAGAGATTGAGATTAAAAAAGAATTGTACTTGTGCTTCATTGACTACACAAAGGCATTCGAAAAAGTGAAACACGAAGAACTCTTTCAGTTATAGCAGAGTCTAGATATCGACCGAAAAGACTTAAGACTGCTTAGAAATTTGAAATTGAACCAAACAGCTTGCATGAAACTTGACAACGACCAAAATTATTTCACAAAAATTAAATTAGCCGTGCGTCAGGGATATGTGCTCTCTTCTGACTAATTTACCTTGCATAGCGAAACCATTACGGAGAATTAAAAGGAATGCAAGAATTTATCACCAGAGATCATAAAATTAGCAACCTATAAAATGCAGATAACACAGTACTTATTTCTAAGTCTAAAGAAAACCTGCAAGATATTCTAGACAAGGTTGTGGTAATTGGCGAACATAAAGGTCGGACAATAAATACAAGTACATGCTTAGGCTTGGTAACAACAGCATTAAAGAAGTGAAAATCTTTTTGGAAGTATGTTAACAACAGATGGAAAATGTGAGGCCAAAGTCAGAAAAAGGATTGGAATTGCAAAGAGCACGTTTGAAAGATAGCAAGTCATTGAAAGACACAAATGTTATGTGATGTTTATCTGATGTACGGAAGCGAATGCTGGACAAAAACTTTGGAGATGGAACGAAAATTATAAGCGACATGGTTGTGGTGCTACAGAAGGATGCTTCGGCTATCTTGGACAAAGAAAGTCATAAATGATTGAAGAGAGAGGGAAAACAAAGAACTGTCACGAATAAAATGAGAAAAAGCCAGCTGAATCCCTGAGGCTTCTTACGAAAAAAACAAGAAAACCTAAAGCTTACCGATAAGATAGAAAGAAAAAGAAGCAAGGGCAAGAAAGGACGATATTCACAAGCAGCCTTGGTGATTTGGATGTCAGTGCATGTACCAGCAAGACGGAGGGCACACATGACAGAGAGGCTGTTGTTAATAGCTGCGGAAGAGGGAAAGATTATTGGAAGACCATGCCCGGCAACGTCATAAAATGACACGGCTCCAAACAGAACAGATACAATCACATCACAACCATGGTACTGTTTTATTAATGTGGCGATCGAAACTCTGGAAACTCCTTAAAATAATCACAGGGTAATAGCATCATTTTTCTAGGAAAAGAATATCATTCTTCTAGGAAAATATGGAGCCGTTCATAATGACAAGCGGAAGTAGACATTTTGAGGATCAAATTGAGAAATAGAGCAAATATTTAGAAACACGATGAACTACTTTCATTAATCCTACAAGATGACCAAAAAATAAAAATAAATCCCAAAAGATGACAAAAAAATATGAATAAATACCTTTCCTGCAGTGACAGTACGAAGGGTGTCTATGAGTTTAAGTTTCTGGTCAATATCGCTTATTTCGTCCACATATGTACATGCCTCTTGCACCATCTTTGTGACTGCCTATCAAAAACATAAACATAGCAGGGATTTATCAACTACAAACCATTTGTAATTTGATTCAAATGTGTTAGCAATTTCTTTTAGCATTTGGACATGTTGCCAGTCGCTGCTGTTGTATCGTTGCAATAGAGTTTCAAAGTGTTGATGTTGCAAAAAAGCTATTTAGATTTTTTCAACGCTAAATGACCACTAAAAAAAGCATTATGAAATACTTCTCAATGTACAAATTCAGTTAAATGTGCTAGAAAGTCGCTGAGATATGGCCATGTGCGTACAGGCTCTTTCCCCATAAAGTCACTGTAATTTGGCCTTGTTTAAATTTTGAAAAAAAATGATAAATCGAACGAAGACAACAACAGTTTGTGGGAAAACTTTAAATTGTTAATTAGCCATATCTCATTCATTTTTGTAAAATTTTAACTGATTTTGCACTAATTGAGATATCTCATTGTGTCCTTTCAGGCTTTGTGGTTGGAATTAGAATATTATAGATTTTGTTGTCACAGTATGGTACTTTAATGACCATTTCATAGTCCTTAATTGAACACTATTCGAAATTTGCATTATCTCTCTACAGAAATCCTAAAAGTTGAAGCTTCAATATGTTTGGCAACAATGCAGCTGGATCAGAAAATAAAACGTACATTCTTCTTACCAAGATATTTATAGTATGCTTACTAGTGTAAACTATCAAGCAGTTCTTGTAGAATACACCGGTTGTAGGTAATTGAAACAGATATAGTAAGATAATGCTAAATTACCTTGAATTAAACATATCAATAAGTTATGATACCTTTATAATCTATTAAAATAAAAGTCAAATGAAAACGGGAAATTACTTGTTTAAGTTGACCTCGCCTCTTTGTAAGAACTGTGAGATTTTCATTTAGCAGATCGTACTCTTTACACTGGTAGCAAAACTTGACAATTGCAACGAGAATTCTGCTGGTTGAAAACATGTCTGCAGCCTGAAAGAGAAAAAAAATTTCAAAAATTTTTAAAAATACCTAAAATACAAGATGCAAGGCAAAATAAAAAGATGAAAATAATCCTTTTATAATGTCCAGCAGGAATTAGGAAAATAATAATATGGTATTTATCTATTTAAAATGTCTTTATTTTTAATCTTTTATCTTTTAAAAAAAATATCTAAATTTTTAATACCATCAAATGGATTTTTATCTGGTTCTGTCAGTATATAAAGAAAACCTTTTCCAATTGAAATAACATAGGTTTTCTTAAATAGATGGTCTCCATCTATTTTTGTAATATTTGGAGAGCGCTCATTGGAAAGGGGTAGCCATTCAAAAATTTGCTCAAAATAAGGGCACTCATTAGAGAGGGATGCTCATTGGAGGGAGGGTGTTCATTAAAGATAATACAGTTTGTATATTTAAACCTGATTCAGATTGGTTGCCATACAACAGTACCAAACAATGATACTCACATTTCTAGTCTGTTTTTCAAGAGTAAGCAATATTTCTAAAGCATCATGAAGTTTTCCATTCTAAAAAAGAGAAAATTTGATACAAATATTAGGAATGTTTTTTCTATCATACAAAATTTAGCATGTGATTAACAAAACTGTTAAGATTCTAAATAGTTGTAACTAACTATATACAAAATAACTGAGCAGCTGAGCACTTCTATTCATGAAAACAAAATGGCTAAAAATGTAATACTACTGCTGGAAAACAAAACTATGGAACATTTTTCTAAGTTGGAACAAAAAACTTTCAATTTAAATGTTTTGTATAATGATCTTAGCAAATTTGCAAAGTACAGAAGCTTTGAAAAGCATTGGAAAGGATTAACTAAACATTGGCTTTAATATAAGCAGAAGACAATGTTACAAAATGAACAGAACTTTTCCTTCAATTTAGCCCTTCTTTTGTCAACTTTCCTTGCAAATAAGTAAATAATTCTTATTTCCAGACGTTGAATTCAGAGGAAACTTTTTTGTATTGATTTATAGCAAAGAATGGATTATTAAGTTGCTTAGGCATCACATATCAATGGAAAGGAAAATTTTTGAAGTCATAACTTTCATACATCGCCATAGCAAATCTATCCTTTATAAAACAGCAAAAAATATCAGTAAGTCAAAAAGCAGGTGTTCTCTATTGTTATATAAAAAGGTATACTGAGTCCTGTGATTCACAATCTGTACAGCAATAAGCTGTTTTTGTAAAACTGAGTGGACATTCTTTTGGATCAGCACCTAGATTTTTCCCTTTCCTTTACAAGAAGACAGCATTGGTAATTGTCCTGGCCTTATTTTTGCAGATGAACTCCAACATTTCTCAATTTTCTGTGATTTTTCATCTATATGTTTCTTTTTTTGTTTTTTTCCCTTTCCCTGTGCAAGGACATTACCAATTAATTGTATGGTAAGTTCTTCTAAATTAAGGTCCATTTTAGCTTTCCCTTGAACAAAGTGGGGTCCCACATGCCCTTGCAACAAATAACCACATGGTACAATCCAACCATACTCTATTGTAGTCACTGTCAAGATTGAGGCATGCAATTTCAATCTTTTCATATTTGCAATTTTTTGGATGTCTTGTCACTGGTTTGCCAAATGGGTCATGTAGGTTAAAAATATATAGGCTTTGACTCTGTCTACATGAGAGCAGTTAGACCTTGGAAACATGCAAAACCTCTACTCCTACCTCTCCTGGTTCTTGCAGCATCAGAGAACATGGTACACAACTTACTAAGATTGTGCAATATCTAGTTATACATAGGATTATTGACAAGAGAGAAAAAAATAACTGTTTATCATTTTAAATTAATATTGTGATGATTCTAATGAAAATGCTAGAAAATAGAAAAAGAAGAACAAAAAAACCAAACATCGAGTTTTGTTTTACTTTCCTGAGTTCTAAAACATTTCCTGAGACTATTGCGTAGATGTATTACCATGGATATTCTTGGCTAGCTATCCTTGACTATTCTTCAATATGAAATCTTTCTAAAATCTTTACTTAATAATAAACTAAAATTTAGCTGCTTTTATATAAGAATAATTTATCTAAATTAGCACTACAGTCTGAAGGATGGGCTGTTAATGATGGTGTGATGAAAAGCTCAGCAGACAGACAGAACTAAGTGACCAATTGACTAATGGGCCCATTGACCCACAGTTACATGAACTTCCATATTATACAAGGAGCAGCTGACTGAAGGATTTTTCCGGAAGTTTAAGTATCAGAAAAGAAAAGAAGGGGGATCCAGGGGTGCACACCAGGGCAGGGGGTACCTACTGGCAGGGGCAGCACCAGCCACTAGGCTCTGGGGAGGGGACAAAACAAAAAATCTTAGGCCACGCCATTTTTACTGTCAGAAAAGGCCTGTTTACAAACAATGCCAATTTTGCCAATAAGGTAAGCCAATGACCAGCCTTTGGCTACGTAAAGGCAAACTCAAAATCACAAAGGATGACATCACAAAAAATATATTGCCAAAATGTTAACCCTCCCCAAACCCTTTCTTGTCGAATTTAGACAAAATACAAAATCGATCCTGCCAAGAACTTGGGGGGGGGGCATATCTAAACCAAAAAGAACCAAATTCTCTACACTGGTTCTTTTTTCCAAGTTTTTCTATTTAAATTTCCAACACTTCTATTAGTGGCCAATACTACCCTAGATTAGGCACTGACAAGTATAAGTGTTTTGTTGAGAAACAGAGGCATGTGAATGTGATATTCTTTAAGTGCAAGGATTTTGAGCAAGGTTTTGATGTTTTGATTGACTTTCCTGGTAAAGGAACAAGGCCAAAGAAATGGCACAGCATCGCAGTGTCCAAAAAAGCTAATTATCAATAATATCTTTACCATCTTATCATGTTCACATAGCTATGCTCAGTGACATTTTAATAAGAAAGATTCAATTAACATATGTTTTCAAAAATAATATACATGATTTGGCACAGAGAATATTAAGCTATGGTGCACCACATACTTCAGGAAAAAATCTTTGGCAAAGCCTTTGTTTGTCGGTATGTGCATACTTTCATAAAATGTACCAGGATAGAATCCATGTAAAGCTTGCACCAGATATTATACACAAATTAACAATAGAAATACAATGGGAAATTGTTAGTCCATGCCAGCCAGTCTGCAAGCATGGCAGTTCTTGACAAGATATTTGCGTGCAAGAGCAAATATAATTGTTTGCAAGAATGCTGACAAAGCGTGCAATTTGTGTACCATTTTCAGTTTTGGTCCAATATTTGCACAGCAATTATTTCTGCAAAAGCGCTTTAGGGCATTTCAAAAAATTTTGACCTCAGACTATTATTAAGCATGGGGTCAATCATACACTGGGGTCACCAAAGTATGGAAACGATGCTTAAAATGGCTTTGGAAAAGATTATCAAAGGATGCATAAAAAATTCTTTAAAATACAGGCAAACTTGAGAAGCATAAGATAATTCAATTAAACTTGAATGTGCACCTTTGCACTGCTTTTGAATATATTACGGAGAAGATCATTATGGCTCAGACATCAGGCTTTAGGTTATTAAAAATGATATCAGGTGAACAATTTATAAAGCTGTCACTTAGTGATCAAAAGGAATTTACTATATTCAAATTTAAGGTTGGAAAACTTGCACACATTAACAGTTTCAAGCAAGTTTAATTAAACAAGCTTGCAGTCTCAAATCTCTTTGCTGGCCTCTCATGAAATTCTAGCTTTTTACAAACCAAAATAATAGAAGCAGATCCATACTATTTCGGCTGCTGTTTTAGCTTGAGCATAAGTCAGATTATACTATATACAGTTTCCCAAAAAATCTCATTTTTCTTTGATTCAGACTTTTCTATTTCCCTTGTTAGCAATGAGATATGCCTTTTCTAACCAGCCCTTGCTAAGGACATTGAGAATAAACTCAGACTGGAGTTTCCGAGAGAACAGGAATGTGCTGAGCTTCAGTGGCTTTAGAGCAAGCATAGTTTGTTTTGAAATATAAAATCAAAATATGATGATTCCAGGGCCATTCTATTGGGTATGGTCCTTAATTTTCCTGGGGGAGTGCCCCTAGACCCCTCTTTCTCCAACTTGGTTAACCCATTTCCATTGCTCTTACAAAGACCAGATTGCAGCTTCAATAAACAACATTATTTTTATAGCCATATTTTCAACTTGTGACAATCAGATGGTTTTGATGGCTGACCAATGATTGTTTAGTGGACACTAAAATCCCATTTTGTTTAGCATTTCATTTCAGAGAACATGTTGCCTAGACCAAGATAGGATAGGAAGGGTCCAGACTGCAAAGTATTTTATCTGCGTGGGAAACACCAGAACAATAATTTTGAAATTTGCTGTTAACCTTCGTTTCCCGCAAAATTTTGTGCGGAATTTGAAGCAAAAGCTTTTAAAGAGACCTTCTATATTTTGTTTTTATATTGTTATCAGAAGTCAGAAGTTTAAATGGTGGAATAAATGCGTTCCCCACACAGACCAAACTTTTCCGTCTGGGCAATGTTTTCCAAAGATTTAAAAAGAGTGGTCCTAAAAAATTTCCTGTTTTAATGTGTGGGCAGCCCTACGCTTTTATTTACATAAACCAAGCCTCTGAAAAAATCTTTTGTGTCCAAATGCCACACTCCCAGATTGGAATATTTATAAGATGTGCAGGGGATCTGTTTCATGTCCATGGAAATTGCGCACTTGCCTATAGCATAGATAAAAACTTTGTGTGGCTGAGACTAATTACCATAAAATACAGTATGTAACTTTTGGGTATACATTTCAGAGAAAGATATGTGGACAAATCATTGCGGCTAATGATATTTGAATTGGATAAAGGTTACTTATTTGGTAACGGAATGAGGGCTAGATTTCCAAGAATAAAATCTTTATGGGAGATTGTAAATTCTATCTCAATGCTGCAGCATAGCTACTGTTAGACTGTTTATGAAAGATGCTACAGGCTCCCTCTTTTTAAATCACTGGCAAAATTTCAATTTTAGTACCAAAGAAAGTTACCAGTAAAGTGTTTGTAGCATGCATATAAAGTAACAGAAAGAATAGGAATAAAGTAATGGAAGGATGCATGTTAACAGATGTGAAAAACTTTAGAATTATTACTTTAATACGACAACTATGACAAATATTAAATGATCTGATACTGTGTTAATCAAACTTTATCCAAAAAACTTCAAACTTCACTTTCGTCAAATGATGAAACAAGGGGAAACAATTAATATATAGGTTAACAAGGGTCAGTATGCCTTGCGCATATTAACATACAGCTTCGTTGAAGGTAAAATGTTAAACAGTACAGTTTTTCAGGGCGGTCAAGAATCTTTAAATAGCAATTCAAAGATTGACTAAAAATATTTAAGATCACTATGAATCATAATAGCGTTAATATTTGCAAGAAATGTACTAAAGCCTTCAAAACAATATCTTGATCAGTTTATCATAATACCATATGAGACAAGTATCACCCTTTCAGATTTCCCTATTTATTTGCAAGTTCTGAGACATGAAAATTAAGTAATCTTGTTTTTCCTGTCAAAATTTGTGGAATATACATACATTTTGAAATAACTGCCTTTTAAATATCATGCATAAAAAACCTTAGAAGGCCAGGGCCACATGGTACAGAGCACTAAAATCATTGTAGCATTCTACAGTTTTTGGGAAATTACTGAACTTAAATTGTATGACAACATCCTTCAAAGAAATTCTAGCTCAAATTCACCTCAAAATTTGAACTTGGATACAACCAAAAAAAATAGACCACACTTCAAATGTGAATAATTCCTAAACTTCACTGCCATGTAGTTCAAAACAAAGTTGAGATGATTCTTGGGTTTAACTTTTTTTATATTGTTTAGATATTATAGAATCATGTAAATGCCATCTATACTCTTGGTTTATAGGTTAATTTTTTTCAAAATCTGTCCCTCGTTTTTGAAATGTCCCCAGCGTAAGCTACATGGATTCCACACTGGAAAACGTATTCAATCAAGAAAACTCTTAAAAAAGACAATTTAAGTTTAGATAACGAAAAAGCTTGGCCTGTGTAGTTCTACGGCAAACATTTCCTCTTGGGCAGCCTGATGTATCCTCAATTTATCAAAGTTTATGACGGCGCGGCCTAAGAGTAACACTTCGAATTATACTAATTAAAATAAATGTAATATTAGGAATTTACCAAATTAAAATTTTGAGTTACCTTGACGTGTGCTTCACATTCTGGTAGAGTCTTGTCTACCGTCTGGCTATAATCTGCCTCCATTTTCACAACGTTGCCCTTCATATCGGTTACCGTTTCGGACGCCATCTTGCTGCCGATGAGATGAATAGTGTCCACCAGGATACGAGAGATATAAACGAAAGGATTCGTATCTCCAGTGTGACGTCACAACAGAAAACATTTTGTAATTTCGACTTTTGTATGCTGAGATCTATCAAGAGAAAAATGAAGTGGATGTGTCTGCCAGAAAACTTTTCTGACCCTTTCCTGGAATATAATTCTGAAAATTGATGGTTCTCCTAAAAATAATTTTACTGAGAACACATTTTTGTTGGTTAGTAGGGAAAGTTAACTTTTTTCCACATTCAAATTAGAAATGATGAATTTGGCGTATTCTGTTTGTTGTCTTTATTATTACCTTCGATAGTTCTTATCTAAAATTTATCTAAGGTTTAATGATAAATCTGACATGCCCTGGGCAAAATATCTTCAACTTGCATATCCCGGAATTTTTTCAGCCTACGATGATACCCTGTTGGGTAGGAAAATACCCAGGTAGTCAATGTATTACGAACACCTCCATAATCTGGCCACTCTTTAGAGAGGCAAAAGTGATATCTGCCACTACACAGGAGCGACGGGTTAAATGATGAAAAGCAATCCCTGCTACCAGAGCCACATAAATTTGAGCGCAAGACAAGGTGGGGCCACTCTTCCGCTAATTTATGTGACTCTGGTTTCTGCTTGTCGGCGGTACCAGAGCATCGACCATTGGTATCAGCAAGATAAAATAAGGAACTAGTTAGCGTTGGCTCCCGGCTACTACCCCCCCCCCGCCCCCCAATTTTTAAGGCTAGATTCGCCACTGGCCACGCATATATGAGATGACAGGCGACGATGCTTCAATCAGCAGTGTCGTTTAAATTCATGTAAAGTCAGTTTGTAAAGTTGAAAAATATATAAAAGTAAAAAGTAAAGCAAAAAAGTTAAAAATACAAATTCGAAAGTCAAATATGTAATGGGATATGTTTCAAGTCATGCTTCCACGTGATACTTTTGCTACCGTCATTTTGTTCCGCATTTTGTGCATTTTTTAAAGAGAAGACCAAACTTCTGGTTTGGAGCAGTTAAACAAAATTTACATGATGTTCTAAGCCAACGAGGCAGAGAACCAACAAATAGCCGGCCTCCTACTTCATCACCTTACGCAACTCCAAATGAGGAGCTTGCAAGTATTTTGAAAAAGCGTGCATCAAAATCCCAAAGCAGAATCCCAAAGAGGCTTCTGCAGCTAAGCAGGCAAACAAGTCGATGTCAGAGAATAAGATTGCAAAAGGGTACATTTGCCCAATGTGTTGTTTTCCTCATGACATTCAAGACCCTTTGCTGGTGTTTTGGAAAAAGAACAAGAACATAGTTTAGATTAGAGACGTATGAAAAGGAAGTCTTTGGTAGCATTCGAGCTTACATCACTCTCGAAAGAAAGTAGCCAAGAAAAGTGACCCCACCCCCCTTCCCCCTACAACAATTAGGTAGAAATTACTGCCCTGAACATGCCAAAAGTTGTCTGCTATTTTGCCCCTCTGTGACATCCCATAGCGCACGCCCCCACTACGCCCCCATGAACTCGGCACCTTTTGTTATTTATTACTGCACAGACTCTTTAAAATTACAATAAAAACCCGCGTTTAAGAACCTGGTTTTTTGAATTGGCCTTTTTGAAACAGGTTCTTATACGATGGTGAGTGAATGGTAATGTCCTTGCACTTTCACTTAATAAACTATGGCTTATGCAGAGTCATGCTTACAGTTACAATTTTGTCTATACCGTGGTGCATTGCAAAATTAATTGCCCAATCACCAGCTGGCAAACAACTAAAGCGGAATAAAGGAAAACAAACTCTAATTAGCGTCTTGAAAAGAACCTTGCAAAGGTGAAAGGCGAGCACGTTGATCATCGGTAAGAAAATTTTGCAAAATATTTTAAGCCCTATTATTTGGTATTCAATCTTGGCACTATTTAAGAAAGTTATTCAACCATTATCTTGCAATTTTTCGGCTCAGGCATAAAGCGCCGAACAAACAACATTATGAACTTTGTTATATGGCTCCTGACCTTTAAAAACTTATAGTGAAATGTGCAATAAATAAAATACCACAAATATGATATGCACATTCGTATGATTTGTTAAAAAGGTGTTACTCGAATGATCTGGATATTATATTTGTGTGCTTGCAGTTTCTTTGTGGTTTAACCTTGAGGCTCTGCTGAAGATTAACGCCCACAATTATCACAAGTAGCTTGGGTGGGGCTACCGCAACTTCCCGATGCTGGCCAAACTTCTAATAACTTTCCTTTACTGAAAATGTTTTTGATGAATTATGTTGCATTTATCTTTATGTTTTAATAATCAAGTTGTGACTGGTATCATACTTGAAGGATCGGTGCGGTTTTGACAACAATTTTCACATGGCCTATTCCACAATTTATTCGCGCATTGTTGAATTTCTGCTGGCAGGTCTGGCACCAAACGAGTCTTTAATGCAGACTTGTTTATTCGTACAAAGTAAAGAAGGCATTGAAGGGTCTGAGCCGAGGATTTTCATGGGAGCAATGATGGGCTACTTGCGGGATCCATGAAGGCTGTGATCCCCCTTCTTGCTTATTTAGTTTTGATCCTAGTATTCATTTCCTCCTTCTCAGGGTGATTTCACAGAATTCCAATTTTCCAGGGATGTGAAATCCCAAAGATATTGGGGATCCATTTCATCCTCTAGTTTGGAGAGAAACATTGATTAGCTTATTGGAAAAATCTGTTTGAATCCCTTAATGCACACTTGAGATCAGTTTAGCAAAGTAACTGTGCCTTGAACTTTCAAAGGAGAGGGGCCATTGAATAGAAACACTTTGGTTATTTAGTTGATAATAGTTGATAATAGAGAGTTATTGAATTTAATACAAAAGGAAGAGAAAAGAGCGAGATGAAAACAATAGGGCTAAAGAATTACTACCCAAGTTGAAAACAAAAGGTGTTCTCTGCTATTGTTTTGTGAGTTTTGTGAGTTCACTACAGTTTGTTTATAAACCATGAAAAATATATTTTACTAAGAAGATTAATGGCCCTACCCACCCCTGCCCCACTTTGGTGTGGTGCCATGATTGGTAGACCTAAGTGTAGACCTCTTTTTATTTTGTGTAACTCCACGTTTTGTAATTGCAAAGCTGAAATTACCATGCATGTGGGATGTCTTCTCAACCTAACTTGTTATAGTCAAGATCTTTAGTGAGAAAAACAAGGTATTTTTGTCAAATGACAATGAAATATGAACCACGGTGAAAGCTCTGCTCACCTATTTACAATTTTTTCTAAAGATGCTATGGGATCATAAACTCTACACACATGTCTCAAGGGTATAAGCCATGTAAAGAAGCTAATAAGAAATTAAATTTGGATGTGTATGTCTTGTAGGGGGGTCATTCCATGTCAAATTTAAGGTCAGTGTCACCCACCCTCTCAGATTTTGATGAATTTTACAAAAAAAATTCAGTCCCAGGAGAAACCACCTCACCCAAAATTTCAGCACAATAGGTTAAGGCGTTCCGGAGATACGGCCAGTCAAAAGTTGGCTCATTTTAAGGTGTGGTCCGCCCAAAATTTGTGCCAGCGATAAATAATAACATTCAAAGTCCTGTGAAAGTTTTTTTTATCACAATATTTACATCAAATTATCAACACAGTACATTCTGATAGTGCAGATTTCAAATATGACCACCACAACATCAACAAAGCAAAGCTAGTTACTCAAAAAGTAGGTTAAAAGTTTATATTAGACTTCTTAGATTTTGTGACTAGCCAATTTGAATGTCATTTTTTGCAAAGTCTGCAAAATTTTCAAGAATTGAAAATAGTACCAGCTGAAAGCTCTTGAATTGGGCTTTTTAACCATATAAATATTATCATTTGTATATTCAGCATTACTGAGATTATTTTAGTTATAAAAGAGTAATAAAATTTGCGAAACTTGCCTCACAACCATTCTGTATGCCAAATGACTGGCAAAATATTTGTCAAAACATATAGCATTTTTTTCAAGAACAAATAGAAGTAGATGCCTAAGATGAAAACTATTACTAATCAACTTCAAGATACCATCTCTTGAGAATGAGCTGAGGGTGATGAGCATTTGCTTTCACCATGAATGGAAACTGGGAGCAGACTTTGAAAGGAGATTTACAAAATGCTGCAATTTACTCAAGAATCACAAAAAAGTGTTAAAGGTGGTCATAAAATTTCCCTTGCACTGGCTAGACTGCTAAGAGCAAAAAAGTTTGTGTGTGTTCCAGGGTGGCAGCTTTGTCGAAATTGTTTAACAAAGTTAGAACATTTGGAGAAAGATAATGTAATGACTGAATCTCATGATAAAGAACCAATGGATTTTGGTGAAACTGACCTTGAATCATCCTTCAGCAGATTTGAATCTACAGAAGCTATCAATGAAAGTTTGGAGGTTTTGGGAGAATCACCAATAAAGCTGCAAGCATCGTCGTCTTGCTTATGCCAACTCAAAATTTGAAGCAACGGTTACTTCATTCAAGCAATCATTTGCTGCAGCCGTTGGAGTCCAAAAGGAGAAGATAATGGAGCCAGAGGCACCCCATTTAAGCCGAATTGTAATGACCAAAGCTAATGACTTTGATAAACTGATGGAACAGATTCGTGATAAATTGTCAACTGTTTCTTCCCGTGAGACAGTCCAGCTACTCACACTTACACCAGAATCTTGGAGCATAAAGGAGGCATCTTCTTATTTTCAAGTATCTGAATATTTTGTAAAACGTGCCCGTGAACTTAAAACAGAGTAGGGTATCTTAGCTTGCCCAGGAAAAAAGAAGGGCAAAGAGCTTCCCAGCAGAACAATTGAGGCAGTAAATTCTTTTTTTGAGGATGATGAATTTTCAAGAATTATGCCAGGGAAAAAAGATTTTGTGAGCATCAGTCATAACACTCACAAACAAAAACGCCTTCTTTTGTGCAACCTTAAGGAGTTATATGCAACCTTTGTGAGTCAACAGCCTGACATCAAAATTGGATTCTCAAAGTTCTGTTCCCTTCGTCCAAAATACTGCATCACTGTTGATTCAAAGGGATCTCATTCTGTTTGCGTGTGTGTCACACATCAAAATGCAATTCTGCTTGTTGATGCTATAGATCTGGACAAAACCTACAAAGACTTAATTGACATGATAGTTTGTGATCGAGATAGCAAAACCTGCATGATACATAGGTGTGATGATTGCCCAGGTACACAGTATCTTCAAAATTTCCTAAGTGAAACTCTTACAAGTGCAGACGAGGAAATATCTTTCCAGCAATGGCAGAGTACTGATAGTACAAAACTTATAAGCCAGACTCTAGATTTAGAAAGTTTCATTGACCTGGTAGTAAAAACCATTGATAGATTGACTTCACATTTATATCTGGCAAAATGTCAAGCAAGGTATTTGAAGATTCGCAAAGAACAAATTGGAGAGGATACAGCTATTGTATTAGGTGATTTTGCAGAGAACTACAGTTTTGTGGTGCAAGATGAGGTCCAGTCTTACCACTGGAGCAAACCATGCTGTACCTTGCACCCACTTGTTGTATATTTCAAAGAAGATGAGACACTGATGCAGAACTCCTTCTGTATTTTATCAGATGATCTGGAACATGACACCAGCTTGGTATATCAGATTCAAAAAGAATTAACACAGGTCATCAAAACTAAATTGCCAAAAATATGCAAACTAGAATATTTTTCTGATGGTTGTCCTTCCTAATACAAGAACTACAAAAATTTCTTGAACTTGACACTCCATCAGCAAGATTTTGGGTTATCTGCAAACTGGACATTCTTTGCATCAAGCCATGGCAAGTCCCCCTGCGATGGCATCGGAGGAGCAGTTAAGAGACTGACAGCTAGGGCAAGTTTACAAAGACCAATTTCATAACAGATTATAACTTCAAAGGATATGTCTCTCTTTTGCAGTGAAAATATAAATAACATCAGTTTCATTTTTATAACAAAAGAGGAAATGATGTCAGTCAGAGAGGGCTTGGAAGACCGTTTTGCCTTGGGATCAACAGTACCAGGAACAAGAAGCTTCCATTACTTTGAACCAATTGGTCCCTATGAGATTGCTTACAAGCGTACATCAGAAGATGACAGTTTTTCAGGAACCCACAATTTCAAAGGAGAAATATACAAAGCTCTAACCTTAAAGGATGTTCAAGAGAATGATTTTGTGGCATGCGTTTATGATAACAAGTGGTGGATTGGCATGGTTGAAGTGATAAACAAAGAAGAAAGAGATGCAAAAGTAAACTTGTTTCATCCCTCAGGCCCAGCACAGACCTTTGTATGGCCAGCTAGAGCTGATGTTTGTTGCATTCCAGAAAATGATTTCTTGGTGAAGATTGATGCTCCAGTAACAGCAACTGGAAGGACATACAGCATTAAACATGCTGATTTAAACAACATTAACAAAACATTCCAGAAGTTTTTTAACATAAGAAATGGTATCTTGAAGTAAATGAGTAATAGTTTTCATCTTAGGCATCTACTTCTATATGTTTTTTAAAAGAAATACTATATGTTTTGACAAATATTTTGCCAGCCATTTGGCATGCAGAATGGTTGTGAGGCAAGTTTCGCAAATTTTATTACTCTTATATAACTCAAATAATCTCAGTAATGCTGAATATACAAATGATAATATTTATATGGTTAAAAAGCCCAATTCAAGAGCTTTCAGCTGGTACTATTTTCAATTCTTAAAAATTTTGCAGACTTTGCAAAAAATGACATTCAAATTGGCTAGTCACAAAATCTAAGAAGTCTAATATAAACGTTTAACCTATTTTTTGAGTAACTAGCTTTGCTTTGTTGATGTTTTGGTGGTCATATTTGAAATCTGCACTATCAGAATGTACTGTGTTGATAATTTGATGTAAATATTGTCATAAAAAAAACTTTCACAGGACTTTGAATGTTATTATTTATCGCTGGCACAAATTTTGGGCGGACCACGCCCTAAAATGAGCCAACTTTTGACTGGCCGTATCTCCGGAACGCCTTAACCTATTGTGCTGAAATTTTGGGTGAGGTGGTTTCCCCTGGGACTGAATCAATATTGTAAAATTCATCGAAATCTGAGAGGGTGGGTGACAATTCATGACTTTTATATAAAATTTGACATGGAATGACCCAGGGCCAAACTTTGGGCACTGTCTCATAAGCGCTTGTAACAGCTAAAGTCTAGGCGTGCCGTGAATGAAGAACAACATGATCAAAAACACATTTTGGAGTTCAGTTTGTTATCTGAAACCAGTTGCCTTGGTAGCCAAGGCCTTGCCTTTTAAATGCCTTTACCAGCTTAAATTTAATTTATTAGCAAATTAGTCCTAAGAATAGAGACACAATTTTTGCTAGAAATGATAATCACATTTTAGGTCAAATCAAAATACAGTCAACATGGCTCAGACTCCTGCTAACTTGAAGCTAAAGATACTTGCCTTTGTTGGCTCTGTTCGTGATGGCAGAATGGCAGACAGAATTGTGAAGTTAGTGAAAGATTTCTACAGCGAGCAATCTGATGGCCACACTGTGGAAATAATTGGTAATGAAAATTGTGTTTGAAAACTGTAGAAGGATTACCTTTGCTTGGGTTGAAGGGGCTTACTCAAAACTTTATATTTTTTAGATTTAGACTTTCAAGTACAACAAAACCTGTGACACTAAGAACTAGATAGAAAATGAACTTCATGAAAATCTCTTGAATTAAATTGTATGAACTACTAGATGCCCTAATGCAAAACAAATTTGAAAGATTTTATAATCAATTTTTTAACTAAAGATGGCTGGAGCTATGGAGGCCCTATCTAATTAAGCATATTAACAGGCCTTGAAGAGGTAAAAATGTGCAAAATTGGACATTGGTCGGTTCCAGTATAAGACTTTCTGTCACTTGGGTACAAACGAAAAAGTGAAGATATGATTTTAACATTTAACCTAGAATTTGCGGGCGTTGACCCATCTTTACACTTCAAGTCATATCAGAAAAGCAGGGCTTTATAAGCCTTACAGCCTTCCACTCCCTAACTTACCTATATCTTCATAGTTATGATTATTGGTATAATTATAAATAATTGGCCTATCAAACAATGTTCTGGTCCTTCCTCTCAATGTGGCAACACCTTGTGATTCCAATTAAAAGATTAATAGAGAGCTTACAACTCTGCTTACTGTAAGTGAATGTTTGGCCATGGCAGGGACTCAAAATCAGGACCTTTTGATTTGTAGCCATTTCTACTAAGTCACACTCACACCTTATCCTTTTGCAATCCAAGGCAGCATTCACAAGGCACATATTATTTTTAGCTTTTTGCTACAGTATAGATAAGCTAATTTTCCTTTAGACCATAGGTAGTCCTAATTTTTGCTAATAGATGAGTCTGGTTATGTTCATAGACCCTGAAGAACTTGGGCTGCCAGTTCTTAAACAGCCAATGCATTTCTACAGAGATCAATCAAAGATCCCTGAAGTGCTGCACAAGGTCAACAAGAAGATTCAAGAGGCTGATGCTTTCATGATAATATCTGCAGAATACAACCGTACCATTCCACCAGCACTGACAAACACCTTGGATCATTTCCCACCTCCAAGGTATAATCATGATAAATATGAACTTTAACTTTAATGCATGTCATGTAGTAAATTAAAGTCATTCTAGTTATAAACCCCCTTCTTGAAAGTGTCTAGACAGTTTTGGATTTAGTTGCAAAATTTTCTCTTTCAACATATGCGAAAAGGTTGAAAATGAACAAATGCAAAAAATTTGTCGCTGACAGAGAGAGCTCTTGTGGCACCAACAACTTTACATTTTCCCTAAAAGATCATCAAAACAAGTTTAATTCTTACACAAAATTGCAGCTAATATTCACAGAAAATATTGCAAGGAAAGTAATAAGGATTTACAATTTACTCTCTTTCTAACCCATTTCAGCAAGACTTGCAGTTATAAGGAAATGCTGTGGCTTTATGACCATCTATTAAATGAGTTTTCTGGTTTGCAAGGAAGTTTAAGATTGGCTAAAATGTAACTTAATGTCATACTTGTTTTTTAATCTATTGGTGGCATCTACATGCAAATATTTTTCCCAACTGAAAGTAAACATTTTGTATTTTTCTTTTTTGGGAAATATTTGTATCTCAAGAAAAAGCTAGTAAAAGATACAATTTTTCTTGGCCAATTTGAGCTGTGTCCCAGTCACTGGACTTTGCTGGACTTTGCTGGTTGATTTGTATGAGGCCATAAGGCTTGTAGGGCCACGCTTTGTTATTTTAGGCTTGTAGGGCCACGCTTTGTTATTTTAGGCTTGTAGGGCTAACAGCTAAGAGGCTTTGCAACATTTTAACGTCTTGGTTTATTTTGAAAAGGTTTCTTACAATGTTATTATTCTTTGAATTCTTTGAGAGTGAATCTGTCACTTCCATGCAAATAAGCCATTAGAAATAAACGCACTTACATGTTCTTAATCACCTAGTCGGAACGAAAATTTAATGAACTCAAGAAAGCTGTTTTGTTAAATAGCTAAATTCTGTTTAAAACACCCTGTCAACAAATAAAAGCTGGCAGCCAATGGTTAGCCTTTGTTTGGTGCAAGGACTGATTGATGTGATAGATATAAATGACCAGCTAGTTACTATGCTGTAAGAAATTATAACTTATTATGATCCTAGATAAGATATATGATTTGCCAAGAACTTCTTGTCATGGTATTCAGTGGTGTTTCAAAAACTTGATAATTGGGGTGTGAATGACTAGTTCTTAGGACAAGAGAGAAACTTGAGTCAATTTTCTGTCTTTTTATATGTTTCCTTTTTCCTGTAGCTTTGAGTTCAAGCCTTCGGCTATGGTTACCTATTCAATGGGGCAGCAAGGTGGTATATCTGCATGCATGGCACTTCGACCATTTTTAAGTGAATTAGGGTGCCTTCCAGTCAAACACATGGTTAATATCCCACAGGTAAGAAGGCATTTTTCAATCTATTATAAGAGTCCTCTGCCTTTGATTTCTAAGGCCACAGAACAGGGAGATATCAGATTTGAACATGGATAAAATTAGAATCTGTTTCACAATGCTTAAGATTTCACAACCAGTGCTACACTAACAACAGGGCATACTGGGCACTGTGCATAGAGCCCCTAGCGCAAGAGGGTCCAAATTTTCGAGTATTGACAGGTTCTATTGGAAGGTATATTAACACTTAATCAAAATCAAATAGGTACGTATATCTGCATACAGGCCCTCATTCTTTTTTGTGCCCAGGGCCCCAAAACTCTGAATGCAGCCCTGTTCATAACATCTAATATAGGCTCAAAAAACTCAATGAACATCCAAACACATCCAACACCATGTTAACACTGCAATTGGACGTTCTAAACCCACATCTAATGTAGATTAGTATAATTGTTTCAAGAAAAATAGAATACTGGTCCTACTCTCCAGGTTTAATGTTTCTCCCTTGTCTTCGCTTTTTTGGAAATAATCTACTTGAGATATCCGTATTCCAGACACCCTGTTTTTACTGTAGAGCCTTGTGTATTAAGAAACTTGAGAAAGCGTCATAATTGGACATTTTATTATCTGGTTCTGTTAAACTTATAACCTATTTTAAGCAAAAGCTTTTAGAGAACAGCATTCTGTTTATTTTCCTTCTGCTTCAAATTTAAAGGTACTGCTTCCCATCCACCCCATCCATTATGATTTTGGAAATATTCCATCTACCCACCTACCAAAACCCCCTTAATCCCAGTGGAATACAGACTTGAGAGTAGTGGAAGCCAGATTGCTTTTTATGGTATGTGCAGCAGAAAGTGCACTCCAAGTCCTTGTTCCAGGCACTCAAAGTATTTTTTTTGCTCAAATAGCAAAATGATTTTCAACTAGTTATTTTTTCTCAATTAAGGTGCACCAGCAAGTGACAGAGGATGGCAAAACTGAAAATGCCCACATAACAAGCTCTTTGAAGAAGTCTTATGCTGAGTTGACATGGCATGGCAAATCTATGAAATACATGAGAGATGTTGTTGGTGTTCCTAAATGATAGACTCTTGGTGAATTCCATTTTTAACCATGCATTTTTCACTGGATTAAGATGAAATTATCACGATCGATACGTTTTTCTAATTTTTACTTTAAGAAAATTGCTTACAAATACTTTCAAAAGATCTTGTACTGGTATCATTGCTTACCATTCTTCACTATGTTTGCAACATTGCAATTTCATAAGGTTAACCGATTTCAAATGAAGCGTCTTATTGGATGGGCTGCAAGGAAAACAAGGATTATTTTGTAATAATGGCTTTGAAAAAGCAAACATTTTTAAAACTTACATAAGGTTTTTCGCGTCATACTCATCTGAGTATAAAACTTCATAATATTCATCAATAACTCAAAGCTAAGAAATAATTATGACCAGTTTCATGACTGTAAAGGTTACCCAATCAGTGTCACTTCCCTGTTGAAAAATATCACCATTTGGAGTCAATAGACCAGGCGGAGAATAGGGGAATGGTTACCCAAGAGCAAAATTTATTGGACCAAGTGCTTTGGTCAATTCGGGGGTGCTGTCCTCAAAAATCGATGTTATACGGTGATTTTGGGGGGCCATCAGCCTCTTTTTCGTGTTTGAAGTCCCTTTTTGCGTTTATGATGATAATCAATGAGAAAACAGTTAAAATCTTCTTGCGCATAAGTGCTTGAAATTTACCCCCCACCCTTACACTTACATGAAATGAAATATATGATGAGGATTCATTGATGATCAGGGACGGATTTAAGCGACAAGGATGGGAGGGCGTTAGATACTATCTGGATTTTGGTGCCACACCCTTCTGTTAGATACTAATTGGATTTTGGTCACTGGAAAATGATGGAAACAACAATTTTCAAAGTTCGGTTTTTTGACTTTAAGATAGAGAAGATAAGAAGATAAATAAAGTAAAATCTTGGCATTTAATTGCTTCTAACTACCAAAAAATGATTTTTACCGAATGGAAGCAAAATTTACCGAAGGATACAGAAATATTGGGGTGGAGAGGCAGGTGTGTCACACGCCCTTAATGAATCCGTCCCTACGAATGATGTCATCCAACGTTTAAAATTTATTTTCTATCCTGGGAATGACCCTTCATCGGAGGCCCTGCAACAATAGCAGTTCTTAGTTTTATCTGGACAACTAAAAGTATTTAAATATGCAAACAATCTTTTGGTGGTACAAAACTTGTAAATGGCTTTGAAAAAAGCAAACATTTAGTAAACTAAAGCTTTTCGTCTGACACTCTTCAGAGTTTAAAACGTCAGAACATAGATCGAAAACTCTACGCTAAGAGATATATATACCCAGTTGTGGATCGAAATAGGCCAATCAGAAACACGAGCACATGACTGTTGAGGTTGACCAATCAGTGCCGCTTACTTATTTCGATCCAGATTCAAGCTTTAGTTTTAAATGTTTGCTTTTTTCAAAGCCATTTAAAAGTATTTACTTAAGATCTGAAATGCAATAAAGTTTTTCAGAAAGGAATTGGCTACAGAGAATGGCATGTGTATGGTAAAGGATCAAATCCCAAACGAGGAGATTTGTAGTCCCAGAGGATTATAGATCCAAATTCAATTGTCTGGATTTCAAAAGAGTGAATAAACTTGTACAAAATGTTGTGGGCCTTAAACCTTAAGAGACTTAACGTTTTATTTGGCTAGGGAGCGGAAAAGTTGGAGCGGGAAAGATGTAGATGGAAAATGTCCGAGGCCTCGGTAGCTAACAGTGGTTTATAAATCGCCTTGGCGGTGTTTTTTTTGTATAGTAGACTGGTATAGCTGATAAGAAACGAAGATATTTAGAACGGTTTTTTTATTTAATCAAGAAAAAACTAAAAAAGTCGCCGAAATGAAACTGGGGAATCATTAACCACTTTCAAACACAGAAAAAGGTTAATAAGAGTATTGGAAGAAGCTTGGCCGATAATTATGCTTGAAGACGACGACTGACAACGAAGATGAATAAAGCAAGTCAAATGACAAGGACAATCCTGAACAGAGTCAAAAAATTTACACTTTCTTGCTTTTTAAATTTGGTGTCTAACTATGTTTGTGTGGTACACGTTTTTTTATAAGAAAGTTGTGCTCGGTGGTTTTTCAAAAAGTTAAGAAAGTTTTACTTCTGAAATTCGGAAGTAGCTAAGAAGGTCTGAGGGCTGGACTGAGAAACTTTCTTATAAAAAACGCGTAGTCTCGCATCCTCTTTCCAAATTATGCACATTGCTTGGTATATAATTTGGAATCTTAGAGAAATAAACTTCTCATAATGGCAGTAAAGTTTTCAGATGGAAAAATTTTCGGACGGTAAAAATTTCGAACTGTGTATTTGTCTGAAAGTTTTACCGTCCTGAAATTTTAGAGATTAAAGTGACTGAGACGTTTGACACCAAAACAAAATTCACAGCAACTCGCTCAGAGAAAGTAGATCATTGTGGTTCTTCATTCTGATTGGTTATTTATGTATTAAACCAAACCAACGATGCATGAATATCGTGGCCACGAAAAGTGATTCTGAGAACAATGGAGTGCATATGGTTTGAAGGAAAATGACTAGCTTTTATCTATTCCAGCATAAAAATGACGTCAGCAGAGTCCGAGTAGCAACAATAAATGCAGCACCTTCCAAAACAACTTCTCATATTCCAAGACTCACTTCTAGGCCCCATTCTTTATTTCTACATAAATGACCTACTTCTATTTCTCAAGCAAGCAGGAGTCTACAATTACGCCAATGAAAATACTCTAGTGTATTTCTCTTGTAAAGTGCTAGATCTTGTAAGAATCTTAGAAAAGAATCAAATGTCGCTATTTATCATTGATCATCATTTGCGTAAATGTGATATGAAAATTGGTAATTGGAAATTGGACCATGGATATTGGAGGTAAATATCATTTTCTTTTGAAATGCTCAAAATCTCTCAAGAAATTGAAAAAAATATCAATACCTCCTGAAAAACGAAATGCTTCTATTATTTTAGCTTCTGTAGCCAGGACATGACAACCTGACATTCAAGCTAATGTTTGCTTTCTCCGCAGATTCTTGTTGTAGGGAGTCTCAGCTATCATAATCTGCTAGGTGATTAAAGTGCCCGGGTGTCACGTGACTGATGACGTCATTTAAGGGTAGAAAACAGACAAAATCATCGCTAGCTCTTTACTGGATTGTTATTTTTAGATGCAAATTAATACTTTGACTCGTCTCGTTGCAAGCTTTTAATTGATGTATATTTAAGCATGATTTGCCGCCATCAGTATTTTCATTTTGACGTCATCAAAAATTTGCATGACGTCATCAAAGATCTTATTGTCATTAAATGAAAAGTTGGCATAACTTTGTATTAATATGAGGCTGGATGCCAGCCAAAGCATTTCATCCTTAATTTTCTCAATCAAATATTTAGTATTTAGATCATTTAAATTACGTTGGTGCGAACTGCAGTCTTTTTTGTGATCGGTGGGTTTCCGCCTCGTTCTCATATTTGAGTTCTTGGAACTTGAGGAAGGGAATTTCAGAAAAAGATCTTATTTTTAAACGTCGCCCTGATGAGGGAAAACGAAAGTCTGGCAGGGGAATAGAAGTCAGCAGGAATGAAATCTTTGCAGAAACTAGCCGCAAGAAAGGCAATTTGTGACAGACGCTGGATAAAAGAACTCCATTCCATTCCCAAGGACTTGCAGCAAATGCTTCTTGAAGAATGTGTTGAATCAAATAACATTGCAGCTTTTGAATTACTCGTGCTAAGTACGCGGGGAAGCATATTAGATTTAAAAGACAACCAACATTTAACAGAGCAGTTTGCCTTGACGATTTACAACTGTATCAAAAACAAGAATAGCCGTTGGAAAGAAACCAGAATAACCGCCATTGATATCAGTGGTTGTGAAATTGGTTAGTGTGATATGACGTTTTTTTAGTCTACGATTTTACATTAATTTTCAACCTTTTCAACAAACCATTTTCATATTGGTAAAAGTTTAACATTTAAAGGCGGAATTTTGAAGTAATTGAAAGACAATTTGCAACCCGGTTTTGTTTAATTGTCAAAATAAAATCCTTCAATTATATTTCGCTTTGCCCTGGCTTGGCTCTTGTGTTTATGGGGGACAAAATTGTTTGTCAGTACAATTAAATGTACATGCAAAGCTTCACCTTTTCATCATTTTATTTCCATTTAGGGCCTAAAGCGACAGAATCATTTGCAAAATTGGCACTTGGTGGTACCAAAGCAAGTGGTGGCTTTGGAGTTATTTGTTATTTGCAAGATTGGCTCAATGCAGAGGTCCGTCCTCAACTGATCAACTTGAATTTGCATGTAACAAAAGATACATTTGAAATTGTCAAGTTATGCTTGGAAGAGTCAGATACTCTTAAGCCATCTGGTTTGAAAGCAGAAGCTATTGGTATAAAGCGCATATGTCAGTTACTTGACCAAATTATTGAAAAGGTTTGTTGACATCTTCAGTTCAAGTTTATCTTACTAATTGAAATTAAGGGCTACAATCTTTGGGAAAAAAGTCTCTTTTTCAGTAAGTTTACTCGTGATTCTAATGCCTTCAATAAGATAAGAATATATTGGTTAACAAATTTTTTTCCAAGAGTTTGAAATTATGGTTTTTCCTAAAAAGTTGCAAACAAATTTGTCATTTAATAAAAGACTGGCTATCTAATGAAATTTTGTAAATAGGGCACATTTTAGGTCTAAATTTCTAGATTTTAGGTCTAGACAAACGTGTTGGTACTAGATTTGGTACATAGTTCTAGATTTTACACCACAGATAAATTTGTCTCATTCTTTGTTTCAAAGAACTGTTGACTTCTACATTATCATCTGTTCTATTCTCTGTTCTATTTTCTCACCCTACTTAGGGAGGTAAGAAGCTTTTTTGAATGGTTTTGTTATGATTAGATGAATCGGGAATATGTTCTTAAGAAAGCCAACAACTGCCTCAAAATAAAATGAAACTTGGAATTCAATTAGAATTGTACTAAGGAAAATAAATAAATTTTTATGGGACATTTCAAGCATATTTTTATTTTATTTACAATTTTACTTGAATTCCTAGATTTATTCTATGACATTATACAGCACGCAATCAAGTATATTTATGGAACAAACTGCCTTAGTTTGAGATCTTCTCTATGGTGCATTATGTTTGTGTGTATTTCATGTTCTAAGAATTGAGGAAGGTCCTTATTCCTAATTTTAAGGTGCAGTGATAAAATGGCTTTGTGCAGTAATAAACAGAAAATTGTGCAGTGATAAAACTAGTATTTATAGTCTAGACGAGAAGACAACTGAGGTAGGGGCAACTTGGAGCCAAAATTTATTAGACAATGTTTTTCTGCTGTAGAATTTTGTGCTGAATAAATTCCACTGCATTTACCAAATAGGGTATTTTTTAACAAGGGGTATGGTAATCAATTTTTTCCCAAAGTTATTAAATTTAGAGTTGGACTGGATGTTAAAAAATCCATTTTATACCATCTTTTATAAGGATTTGTAGTTTTAGCAAGTTATAGGCATTGGAGGAATTTAAATTGTGAAGATGGGGGCTAGGTCATGTTTTGCATTGCTCTTAAAATGTTGCTAATAGTACAGAAGCGATAGTACCTGCCCTTCTCAAGAAGTTTTCATCACTGTTCTATATATTATTTGCTTTCTTTGCTGCTCACATCATTATGGTCAAAATTAAACATTAGCCTTTAGTATCCTAAAATTTTAAAGTAGTAAGGAAATATAACACATTTCAGTATGAAAAGTAGAAATATTTTCAAAGTAATGATAATCATGGACTGTTTTGAAAAACAGATACAATTGCTAGATGTAGATGTGATAGAATCTATTTTTGGAAGTTTTTATTGGATCGATCATATTATCTAAAACCACACCTCTGAGACAGAAATAGTGCAATCTGAAATCAAATAAAACATCTAAGTCCACATGATAAGGCCACATGAGCTTCGGCTCTACCATTTCATAATTTTGTGGAAAGAACAGGGCCAGCAAAACTAGGGAGCCAGGGCTATGCCCTTGTACAGTAGTCATAACTAAGAAGTTCTACATTCAATTTTCTCATGGTACAGAATTTAAAAATAGCTTTGAAAAAAGCAAACATTTTGAAACATGTTACTAAAGCTTCATATCCGACACTCTTCAGAGTATAAAACGTCAGAACATAGATCGAGAAATATGCGCTAGGAAATAGAAATATATATACCCAGTTGTGGATCAAAATTGGCCAATTAGAAATGTGATCACATGACTGTTGAGGTTGCCCAATTAGTGCTTGTTGCCTATTCAAAATGTTACCAATGGAGTCCCAAAATTGAAACAAACTCCTTCTGTCTAAACAATAGTGGCCTTTTCATGTTTATGTAGATAGATCCAAACACTGCTAAACGGAACGACACATGAAGCACTAATGCGGATGTTACATATGTTTTTAAATCTTGTTCACATGTGGCATTTTCCATCCGTGTGCGGTGAACGAAAGAAAGACTTTTCTCTTCTCCTTCACAGTGGATATCTTTTTTCAACCGTCAATTTTGGCACAAAAACTGACTAAAAACACTCATCGATGGCCACCTCATGGTCATTATAAAGGTTGGTAAACCTTTTTCGCCTTAATCCGTGGATGCCATAAGTGTTTAAATGAATTCTGGGTAACAATTGGGGTCTAATTGAAAGTTTGACGATAGTAGCTGACTCCTGTATAGTGGAGCTGTTATATTATTTGGGTTGGTTGATATTGAATAAGAAGTGCTTAGTTCAACTTGAGACATAATTGGGTTCCAAATGACTGGCGCCGGCTTGGTTTTAAATTCAAAAAAAAGAAATATCCCTCTGACATAATAGAAAATGATATCTAAAATCATTAACGAAATCTGACATAACCAAAATAGAGCTTGGTTCTTGGACCATTCTCAAGACATCAATCCCCAAATTGCCACTCTTTAGAAAAAGCTGGATACTGGATAAGCTAGAGATGGAAGCATAGTTAAATTAAAGCCTCATAAAATTAAAGCCAGCATAGAATCAAATTAAAGCCTCATTCATGCTTATGAATGTTCATCCATATATAAGAAATAATTTTGCTCGTACCCTTACTAATGTCAGGAAAATCATGTTTCATCAAACGTATTTGTAAGCAAAGTAGAAAGTTGGTCAGGTCGTAATGAATTTCGGCAGTGTCATGACCTGGCTCATTTGATTAATTTAATACATGTGCAAACCACATTCCGCTTTTGTTTAATGAGGCTGAAGCCTGCCATTACGCTGATCATTCAAAAATCTATTGTTCTCAACAAGATACATAGGAGGCTATCTGAAAGCTTGAAAACGACACTATCGTTTTTGGTTTAAACATAAGTTAAGCAATTGGTTTATACATAACTTTATGAAGGGAAATACCACTTCCTAGTATTTTGCGAAAAAGAAACAAGTATTGTAATTAGCATTCCTGAAATCATGAAAGCGTTTAATATCACAAATCCTAAAAGAACTTGAAAGGTGTTATCTAGAGCCAAATGTCACATTCGTGAGAAGCTTTTCCTTACGATAATCTTTGCTCCCATTATAATTGGGCAAATAAAAGCAAGTATTTCCTACAGGTGCTCTTTATGTTCCCTGCATTTTTGGCAACTCAAAACCCTCGAATCATTCGAACTAAAGTTCCTCTTCTTGAAACCTTTTCAAGGGAATAACTCATTTGTTTCGTTCCAACGTCTTGCTGAAAGGTTCATTCGTGCCTAATAGATTGTGGCGGATTTGAGGGGGGGGGGCGAATTGTGCGCCCCTTTTGAAGAATGAGAATCAGATGAAAAAGTTCTTGGACCGATCGAGTAATTAGCTTCAAGGATTACCTCAAAGTTTTATTGTTTATTCTGAAAAGGTATCTTTAATTGTTGTATGCAGCGTACTCTCATAACCAATTTTTGAAAATTTTTCAGCGTCTCAACTACCCATCGCCCCTCCTTCAAATTTGCTCTGGATACGCCCCTGGAATTAGATAGTTGGCAATAGTCTCTTCCCGATTCGAATTTCTTAAAAGAGACCAGCTGCATCTTCCAACTATAAGTTTTTTCTGTCCTGCAGGGTTTGGAGTTGCTGGATCTCGATGTGTATATGAATTCATTGATGAGGGATGGAGTATCGCAATTATGCAAACGTCTTAAGAACTTGAAGGGACTGAGGAAACTCAATCTTGGTTATCCTATGATATCTGAAGAAGATGGGGACGTGGTAGTCGAGCTGTGTGCTTGTTTGCGAAAAATGACGAACTTGCAAGAGCTCAAACTTGACGCTGCGACCTTGGGCCACCATTTTATGTTAGTACTAAACAGTCTCAGCGCAGGAAATCTGCGTCACTTGGATCTATCTCACTGTGGACTTGAAGGAGCATTAATTCAAGTTCTTGCAGATGTTTTGAAGAATTCTCCCATTCAAACGCTTAATTTGCGCTATAACAGATTAAAATCAGACCAAGAATTTGGCTCTTTGCTCCAGCTGCTGACAAACTCCGAGCAAACACTTGAAAGGCTAGATATCAGCCACACAGGAATGACATATGATAACATGGTGCGTCTTGTGGAGTTTTTTGAGGGCAGTGGATCTCGTATGAAGTTGCAGGCGCTTATAATGGCGAGCAAGGAAATCCAAAATGATTCAATGTTGCTTGAAAGGATGAAGAGTGCGCTGAAAGGTGCACAGATAATTTGGAACTGATATTCTTTACCTTGGCATAATAACTTTTGCAAGGACTGTAGAGACCGGGGGGAGGGAGGCATTTGCTGCCAGTAATTTTCAAGCGTTTTGCTGCTATTTACATGAATGATTAAGTAAGTTATCGTGACTTTTTTGACAGCGACTGCGATCTTATGTATATGTATTTTCCAAGGCGGGCCAAGTTTGACCCTTATTTCGAATCAATATTCGTAAAGATATATTTTCGGTTTCTTGGTTTGGTTACTTTATAAAGTAACTAAATACCTTTACACTCTGATTTTTCGAGCAAATACCACCCTTTATTTATCATGTAACAATAACTTCACATAATTCACAAAAAGTTTTCTGAATCATTTTTACTGTCTTTATTATCGTCTCAAATACCATTTAAAGGCAATCGGCAGATGCTTAAGGGGCATCTTTCAATCAAAAATTGACCAATCAGTGAGTGTGATTCTAATGACATGCTCATTTTCTTGCTAATATTGATTGACAGGTGGCTTACGTCATTTTCTATCTTGTGTCTCATTGGCTTCGAATGAAAACCAAAAACAGTACATTTACTGAGATATTTTCACACAGATTAAACATTTTGAATTATGAGGTTGTCTAATCCTGGGTACCAAAACTGAACGATTTTACAAGCAAAGGACTGATAAGTCATTTTGTGCATTGCGGCCAATTAAAAAATTAAATAGGTCTTAGGTACCGAAAAAATTATTATCTAATTATCTAAGAAAATAGATACCAGCAATACGTTTAATCGAGTTACCTCAAATTTTTTCAAGCATTTATTTTTGCTCTTCTAAAATATTGATTTCCTTAAAGCAAAAAGTTCATTGTGGTTAGAAGCAAAAGGTTTACCTTTTTTCAACCTTCTAAATAGAAATTTTCAGTAAGTGCGAATTGTTTTCAAACAAATTATCCTTAGATGATATAATTTTAATTCTACTCCTTGACATCTTATCAAGTAGTTCTTGGCTACTTAACGATTGGAATAATTTCACCCTCAGGGCCTGTTCATATTGAGAAAATCATCCCACTTTCCAGCCTGTGCGCTGAGAGGTGAGATTCCACTCTTCTATAGAATCCTTCGCCTTGCGTTTAAACGGAAAACAAGCCTCCCACAGCATGGGAGGTTTGATCTCACTGTGGTGGGATGAATTTTTTCCATATAAACGCTGGAAGGTGGGATGAAGCTGGAAGATGGGATAAAATGTTGATATAAACGCGATCAAATTTCGTCCGACCTGTCAGCATAAAGGCTGGAAGGTGGGACGATTGTCTACATATACAGCTTGAAGGTGGGATAGAATCTGCATGTAATCATTTGATGACTTTATCCCATCTGGCAGATTATGGCCTGAGAGGTGGGACAAATTTGCTCATATAAACAGGCCCTTATTTTTCACATATTTTCTAAAATGCACGAGTGACTGGTAAGTCAACATGGTCCAAGGGAAATTCACAGTAATCTTCGTCGACCTTAAGAAGGCCTTTGATACCGTTGATCATAGTATTATTCTTGTTAAGTGGAAATAACCCTTGGTAATTGTAGCCCAGACCATGATTGTTTCAGGTTGTATTTGGGTATAATCTGGGATCAAAGATGTTGACTTTGGAGTCCCACAAGGGTCTTGATTTGGACCACTTGTTTATGCTTTTTATAAATGATTTCCCCTTTACACTAAAGAAACGTTAAGCAAACATGTATGGTGACGATACCATGATTTTCTTTTTTATTCAAAAGCTTGGAAGAATTACACATGCTGCTGATAACCGAACTACACATGCTTTTAATCCAATATCTCAGTTTTTCCCTTCTCAAGACAATCCTTGCCAGGAATAGTTGGAATGCCTTCCCATTACCTTACCAAAATATCACTGCCGCTACCAAAGTTTCGACCCCCTCCCCCGTACAATGTTGATTTATTTTCTCAATACCTTCATACAACTTTCATTAAAAAAAATTTACCTTCAGCATCAAAACAGCCAAATTGAACAACATTGTAGGGGGGATTTTTCGAAAAAAAGTTTAGTATTACAAAATCGAGACTTAACAAAATTACAAAGCAAGGCCAGCAGAATCATTGCTACCCTGGGTACCAAAGCCTAGGGGCGCCGGAGCCACGGGGGCAGCACGGGGGCAGTAAAGTGCCCTTTCCAAGAAATTTATTTCCGAGCAATGTTTATTCTAAAAAATATTTTAGATGCTAATGAAATCTAGGTTTAAAGTATCTCTTGATACCTACATGCAATAGGAAAGTCAATATTTTCCGTTTTGATGAGAACTGAAAATCGATTTGCCAAGCAATTTGACCGCAAAAAATTTTTCGATAATGAGTTCTCTTTAACGTTCATGACCATGCTGAAGATGTTTCAGATTGCTACCGATGTTGGCTCGCAAATGTTCGATATATCAGTCAAGGCATCAATGATGTCTTTAATTTAAGCAAAGACGTAGGAACCGGGGTGAACAGGGGATACATGCGAATATTTGTAAAAAACTCAAGTAAAATGTCCCTTAGTAGCTTACTAAGTTGCTCTTTCTTGCCAGCTGCATAACCAAAAAATGCCCTTGAATTGCTTAGATGCAATACGAAATGAGCAAAGGGGTGACATTTTAGGGCCATTATTTAATATGTTTCCATTTGATCTGCTTTAAAAAGTACACAAAAACAAGCTCACAACAAGGGTTACCGAAAGGTGATGGCGATTGAAAATTGACCTTGGGCCTTGAGGTCTAGGGGCCCCTCGAGGTTTCCAGTTTGTTAAAGCAATTAGTAAGACATAACAAATTTGTACAACTTTTTAAACGATTGCAACTACATGACTGCAAAAAATATTCTTAAATGGATTTTAAGCTAATCTAGAGGGGTTGTCGCCAAAATTTTTCTGCTCGCGTCGCTCGCAATGGGCTTCCTTTTCCGGTTGTGCTAGGAGGCCTCCGAAAACCTCTCGGTAGCACTGCTCACAACTAAGTCAGAAAATGATATCTAGATCATTGAAGTTAGGCTCTGTGTAACAGCCTTTTTCTACCTTTTTGGAATCTTTTTTATTAAACAGGCTTTTAAATCTTGTTTGTTAGAATGTTTGTAAGGGTGCCCCTTTAAACGGCTGTCCCCCACTTTCATAAAGCTTTCTACGTCCTTGAATTCAAGAGGTTTTATTCCAGATGTTTTTTTAATCAAGAAGTTTTCATGCAGCACGGTATTCCTATTCGACGCTTTTAACGTACCGATTGGTTGGAATTTTGTCCCAGTGGGCTCTTTAGTTTGTCTAAGTAGGCCTTTTGAATCCCCACAAGTTGAAGTCCTTAAAAAAATATCCTGAAGACTTTGCTTAAATTGGTCTTGAATCTACTTTCATGAGCCAGTACTAGAAGCTTCTTAAAGATTTTAGCGATTTGAGTTTCTTATGAAATCCTTTTTCGAACCCTGGTGCAATCTGAAAATTCAAAAGCAAGTTTCTGAAGCCTTTTTGAAACCGTTTCTTTTGCACTTATGATATTTGTCATAAAAATGTAGCCAAAAATAGAACTCAGTTCCAAAAGATATAAGGTATCTCAGAATTTTCATCGTTCAATTGTACTTGCGATTTTTGTAAGGAATTTGTATCCAACGTCAGTTGAATTTGATTTAAATCATACTTAGCGTTGGTAGTTTGAATTAGTTGGATTTATTTAGCTTTAATATAGCTACAGAGTGTACCAACTTTTAATAAAGAAAGAAAAAAAAGTATGATCAGATTAGTTATCTTCAAAAGTTATATCAAGCCATGTAGATAGTCATCAGAACAAATCTTTGTTTTTATGTAAGGTAGGATTGGGCCCTTGATGGTTGATGTTGTGGTGAAAGAAATTTTGAAAATGAAGTTTCTCTGTAGTTTTGATTCAAGCGTATCATTATTGGTGTTACCCCTTTTTCTGAGACTCTTTAGGGCGTAACAAGGAAGCATTTTCCAAGGGGCTACGCCCCCAAACCACCCACTGGCGTCGTCACGAGTTTTCCCAGAGGTTGATTTTCTAATTTCTCGAAATCCGTTGAAAAGCCTTTGGGGGTGGTGGGTGGAGGTTTCGCTGATCAGATCGATTTCGATTTTCGCACTTGCAAAAAAGCCACCGTTTACGTAAAATTAGCTCAGGTGCGCAGTGGTGGGGGGCAGGAGGGCAGGAGGCCCGCCCCTCCTGGTAAAAAAGTATTTTGTCGGTTTTGTCGGAAAATTTGAATATTAGACAAATGTAAGTTTCTCGATCCTGTCTAAAAGGTCGCTTGTTGTTAAACCTGACGTAAAATAGTGCATATCAACCTTCTTACTTTATTCATTAGATATTTTCGAATCATCGCATTGCTGAATTTTAAAGTAAATTAACCGCTCTGTCTCAGTTATTTATAAACTCTTCATTCCACAGTTAAATCACTCATTCATTTCGAAATGAATTCGCTGGTGTTGTAGAAGAGCAAAAAGTTATTATTTTCGCATAACTTAGAAAGAGGAAAATTTTTCGAGCGACGAATACGCAGAAAGAAAAGAGTGCCAGGGAAAATTGCATGGATGTAATTAGAGGAATAGGGAATCCGTTATATCATCTGCTCATCGTGATAGTAGATACAGCTATCAACTCAATGAATACAATATTTACGTCTCATAAGGCAATTTCGACACATTTTGCCTTGCTCAACCCTGAATGTTTTCAAAAAACAATTGAAAGGCAGTTGTGTGCAGTGTAATTAAAAAAGGTTGCGAAGAATTACGGCCTGGATGACGAAAAATTAAGAGATGAGTACAGCTCTTTCGCCAATAATTACCGTAAATTTTGGAAAGTTAGAGAAAAGAGCAACCCTCTCCCGGCTGCAGGAGAAAGAGAAAACTTTTCAGTTCCATTCAGTTCTTCAGTTGATGATAAGTATAACCTGCAAAGTGCCTTTCCACAGCTGGTCCTTCTTTACAAGGTTCTCGTCACTTTGCCAATAGGTTCAACAAACTATGAAAGAGCTTTTTCAAAGCTGAGGATTGTAAAAAAATCGGCTACGATCAACGATGGGACAAGACCACCTTTCCTCTCTGATAACAATCAACGTCGAAAGTGATATTTTACATTCGATAGACTATGGTGACATCATCGATTTGTATGCTGCCACACCTCTTTTGAGAAAGATGCTGCTTGAGTAACAGTTTATATAAATTCAGTTAAAAGAAAACTATTCTTTTGGACGCGCTATATCTATTTAAGGTTTAGCATAAATAAATGCAAAGTAATTATGATGCGACTTAAAACTTGCCAAAAACTTTTTGCTATAAACAGCTATAAACACTAACTTGACAGTTTATTGTCTAGTATAGCGAGAAGACTTGTAGGGTGTAAATTTATAACTAGTTGCAGTTTTGTTCATAGCGATTTATATTTGGTAAGTTTTGTTAGAATAAAGGCTATTGTTGAACTTGAAGGTGTATAACGAACGATCCATTCGTTAACGATTTCCAGATCCATTCGTGATATTGTAGTATCAAGTGTTGCAGTATATGCAGCAAGGGTAATCTTCAAGGAATGTATTGAGAAAAAATTTGTCGGAAAAATCATAGTTTTATCGGAAAATTTTCAGCTTTGCCCCCCCAAAAAGTTAACTCCCACTGCGCCCCTGAAATAGCTGCTCGAGAAAGTTGCTTGCCCAAAGATTTCGAAATAGATAAAAATGACTAAAAAGGCATTTCCAAGAGTCTGAAGGGCGTGGCCAAGAAAATTTGTTTTCGTCCACTCCAGATTTGTCAAGACGGCGACGCCACCGAGACCACCAACCCACTTGCTCTTGCCTTTCACCTACAATCTGGCTTCATCGTTTGCTAGACGACGATTCCCGATCAGTTTCAACAGCAAACTTTGATATCCCTAAGGTGCCCTTTCTGCCGGTCCTGCCTCCGCCGCATCATGAAGTTTCCGACGCCTTTGAGCCGAATCATTATAACCCAGGGTATCAGAGCTACATAGATTCGAGTGCAGAAGTGAAAAACTCGGGGGGGGGGGGTGAGAGACTGGAGCAGAGAAGCAGAGGATCGTCCAGCTGAGAAGAAAGGAAGTAAGGTATCATTTTTTATTCCTCACAATTAGACACTTTTCGCTTTTTACTTCCATTTCCGCGCTCGAATTTTTGGCTCTGTTACCAACAGTAAGTCTTTACAGGCAGTCGCTACGATGCACCTCATTTGCCGATACGAAAAGCTCTAGGATGTTGCCCATCAAAAAAGTGATTTTGAAAGAAGTCATGATGTTCCCAGGCACCGCGTAGCGGGGGGGCTTGGGGGCTTTAGCCCCCTACTTTTTGCAAAAAAATACAAAATATTAAGTAATAAACTAGAATTAAAGCCTCTTTTTCTATGGTTTAACCCCCCCCCCCACTTTTTTAGACCCCCCACTTTTCTCAAAGCTCCGTGGTGCCTGGTGCCAAACTTTGAAAAATCACGTACTGCAATACCTCGGTGACTTACTCAAATATCTCTAAAGATGTTATATTAATTGTCTTGGTGATGCCCAAGAACTAATACACAGCCTGGTTTGTGGACGTTCCCCTCTTTTATTCTTTGTTATTTAATTTCTAAATGTGTCCCGTTTTCAAAGTATCAATCAATTTCATCTTTTGCACCCGCCAGAATCACGGCAGATACGTATGAAGACGAAGCATTCAGTTGTTGCTTTCAATAATAAATATTTGTATTCTTGCCAACAATAATATTAATATGTGATTGATGACTTGCACCGAAGAAATTGGACCTTTTCATTATTCTATAGATAACTTTATAGACCCAGAATCATTTTCTCTCAAAAATACGAAAAATAACAAAAGTTTAAACGTGTTTTTGAACCAGCAGAGGTACACTCTTTTTATAATAATACACTTTATAAGAACACTGAGGCTCGATTTGCCCTAATTATAAGAACAAGGCTAGCACATGCTCAAAAACAATTCGCATTTTGAAATTTATGTCACGTCATCATTTAAACTTTACCCAGTAAAACGTCTTCGAAACTATAAATGGCTTTGAAAAAAGCAAACATTTAGTAAACTAAAGCTTTTCGTCTGACACTCTTCAGAGTTTAAAACGTCAAAACATAGATCGAAAACTCTACGCTAAGAAATATATATACCCAGTTGTGGATCGAAAAAGGCCAATCAGAAACACGAGCACATGACTTAAAGGTTGACCAATCAGTGCCGCTTGCCTATTAGAATGTTACCAGTGGAGTCCTAAGGTGAAAACCAACTCCTTTTGTATACACAGTAGCGGTTTTTTCGTGCTTATGTACACTTACGTTCAAAAAGTATTGGGACACCCTTCGAAACTTCGAAGACATTTTATGCAACAAATTCGGAAAGACTTTTTTAAAATCTTTCTCATTAAAAAAGTACGGCAGCTATTTCCATGAAATTTTCACAAGACATTGTTGATATTTTGAAGCCTTTTCTGTACGCCAAAAAATTAAAAATTCATCTACCATAAAATTTCTATAGGTCTCGAGACGAAAACATGGAAGCTCTGAAAACTCAAGAACTGAGTTAAGAGAAGCGCTTACAAAGTGCTTTCTACTATAATAAAGTAAATGGATTTTGCGACATTGCATCAATTCTCGGCTGCTCAATGAGTGCAGCTTTTCTGGTGTGTAAAAAGTTTTTCCGTACAAGAACAGAAAAAAATTTACCAAGGGTTTGCAGACCAAAGAAGTTTACGACGCCGAGGGACGACAGTTCTTTACTGAGGGAACTGCGAAGTAATAGGTTTGAATCCTTACCAGACATCGTGTTGTCATGTAAAAAGAAGCTAAATAATGGAACATAAGCAAAAACATGGCTATAAAGTTATGAAAAATGCAAATTTTCCAGCGTTATAAGAAAAACAAATGCTCTCTCAAAGTTAAAATTAATCATCGACGATGAGTTCAATGGCTTCTCCTTGAATGTTACGCAATTTTAAAAGTAGCTTGAATAAATGCAATAATTTAATAAATTTGTAGCATTTTCGTCGATGCAGTAAACTTTTTTTGAAGCTTAAAAGTTTGATTTTATAATTTCCTTAATAATTTCCTTTGTTATGCAAACGTGAAATTAAAAAGTTGTATTTGTTTGGACAGCTCTAAAATTTTTGGAAGGTCATGTGACTTTGCCATTGTTAGGCCATTCAGCCCTTCTGCATATTTTGCTGTTATAATCAGGAAAATCGAAAGAATCCTGTGTTTTCTTGGTTATTCTTCATAAGTTGAAGCATTTTGTTAACTTTTTATTCCATTTTGGGGAAACTTGAGCCTAGATTATTTGTAGAAAGACTGCCTAAATCTGAAAAAGTTTCCGTTGCAAAACCGAATCCAACGGAACGCCATAATTCGTTTATCGAATTCGTCCCAATACTTTTTGAACGTAAGTGTAGATAGATTCTAAAACTGCTAGGTCGAACGACGATCGGGCTTTACCAATAATCCAAAACATGTCGCCATTATAGTTGGTTGCACAATCTGGGTTTTCTAGCAAATGCTGCCCGATAGTAGAATAGCAGGTTTTAGTAGTAATTTTAGATTTGCAAGACCGAGGTGGCTATTTCGATCCACAACTGGGTATATTATTTCTTAGCGTAGAGTTTTCGATCTATGTTCTGACGTTTTAAACTCTGAAGAGTGTCAGACGAAAAGCTTCGAAACTATATACAGTATGTAACTTCTCAAATATTTGCAAAAATAAGAACTCTTAAAATAAGAACAATTTTAAGAACATCTTAGCCTAAAATTATCAAAAAGTTAAGAACATCGAGGTTCAGCGAAAGTTATCTGGTTCTCATGAAAAGAGTGTAAAGGACGCAGTAACGTTATTTGAGCAACGAAGGAGCTTTCGTTGCTTGGCACCAGGATCTATTTGAAAATGGCCGAAACCCAAGAAGGTACCGAGGCAAAGGATAGCGGAGGATATGATTATAAAAGACTTCACAGCTACCCCCTTGTCAGGGTAAGGCTTTATTTACCTTCTTTGAGGTTTAATGATTCTAGAATTGAGTTTCAATCCAAGCTTTTTCAGTCGGGTGCCGTCGCTGCTTAGTTTTATTTCTTAGTGAAAAGTTTAGCTAATGTTGTGATTAAAGTATTTAAACCAACGGTAACCATTAGGTCATACATAAAACATTGAATCAAGAGATATCAGTTATTTAATAAAACAGTGACAATTTTTTTGCTACTGCAAAAAACTGTAGGGAATTTCAATCATTTGTTTTTGCATTTGCATCTGGTATGATGAAGAATCAAAACTTGGACAGCACTGCCAGGAAACTAACTTCAATCTTTTTAAAATTTGCTCTCAGCAACAGTCTGATGATAGTTGGCAAAGCCTGCATTCCAAAAAATAAATCTACTTGTGCTATTTAGCTTTGCCAGAGCTGTGAAATCACATATTATTCAAAATTTATATGCAAACTTGCATTTTTGTATCCTTCATATCATTTTTAAATGCTTTCTGTTAAACTGACATGACTTCTGTTAAACTGACATGTGTCCATTTTTATTTAGTATTCTGATATGAACGAAGAGCTCCGAAATGAAGCTATTGAATTCTGTGTAACTGCATGTGAGAAGTTCTCAACAAATAATGAGGTAATTCAAATTTTAAATTTTATTTGATGATTTTTCAAAAAATGAGTTTTACTGTTTCACTTCCTAATATCTTAAAAGCACAATCTTTTAAGTAATCTGCTGCTTCTCTCATTGTATTTTTTCTAAATATGATAGAATACAAAACTAAAATTTTAGATAAATCCGGGCAGATACCAGAGGACTTTGGGTTCCTTTTAAAATTCAAAATAAAAGCACATGCCATCCAGAGTTCCTTATTTTGAACATTATCCCCCAGTCTCCCATTAACTTTTTAGATTATTGTGGTAAATATCAACAAATTTCTGTCAGTCTCTGAATTTTCTAACATGCAAAAAAATTAAGGTTTTGTCTTCATTTTTGTAAATGCGAATTCCCCATGCCTGTTAAATTATTCAAAATACAGTACTATGTTACTGTATTGGTAACAAGACCCTGTTGACTTATGATAAAGCATCACTCTTACCGACTTTGCTTCACAACAAGTGTAGTATTTTCTTGCAAAAGATGGGTAAAGAAGAATATAGAGTGGACAGGAAGTGTGCTATGCAGTTCATTCATTGAAACGTATGGATGAAATAAGTATGGTCTATAGCTCTGCTGCATGACCAAGTACATTCAATTACTAATGTAAAATGCAATTAAAAACAAATCGATAGTGGTGTTGCAACTATTAAAAACTAACCTTGAAGGGGCTGTGTTTCAGTTAGTTTCAGTTTCATATATTTCAAACTTACGACATACAATTTATATATAATTTACTATGGTAACATGAAACTAAACTACAATGGAAAATATTGTACCATGTGTCATGATTTTGTAAACAAATTCACACATTAGGCTAATGGGAAAAGATGTTCAGGTGCTTCAACAAACTTCATTTATTGTATTTTTTAAATAATTTGTTTTGTATTCAATGAATATTTTATGGAAATTTACTATCATTCCATTTTTTTAATTATCTTTGATGCAAAATGTTTATAACAATTAGGCAGCCTTTCCACTAGCCCGGGTTAAAACAAAAATGGGTTAAAAGTTGTTCGTTTCTGCGTCACATTCCTACTAACCCATTTGAAAAATGGATAAGTTTGAAAACGGGTCTCAGAGTGGGTCAGTTTTTACCCAGGTATTTTTGATCCACCTGTGAGTTTATGGAAATGCCAAAACCCGGTAAACTTCTGACCCACTTGCAACAACAGCAACATTTAAGAATTGAGATGACGCCAAAAATAAAAAACAATACCCCCGATGTCGATGTTGCTTCCATTGGCCTACAAAAATGGAAATTGAAGAATTATTGATGCAAATACTGATTTCTCTTACAACTCTGTGTGTGTTCACCCAGAGTACATTTTAACCCAGCTTAGTGGGAGCGATCAAAAATGGATTAAAAATGGGACTGGGTTTAAGAGTGTTCTTTTGTGAAAATTGCATTAGTCCAGGAAAATAAGGTCTGTAGCCAACAGCAAATTATTTTAGAAGCAGAAATTTGCATTTCTTCATAAGAAAAATAAATCTAGACAGTGATAGCTAATTAAGGGTTCAAATTTGAAAATGTTTAAAAGTTATCAGCCTGTCAGAATGCCAACCTTTGAATTTATGTCTGTTATTAAATTTTGTATATACTTATTTTGATATTGCAGGCAGCAGCAAAGATGATTAAGGAAAGCCTTGACAAAAAGTTTGGTTCTTCCTGGCATTGTGTGGTTGGTGAAGGTTATGGATTTGAGCTAACACACGAAGTCAAGAATCTTCTTTATTTATTCTTTGGTGGAACTCTTGCCATAACTGTTTGGAAATGTTCATAGATTCTTTTAGAAACTTGCTTTTCCTCTAGCTATTTTGTTGTATATAATTTTATTATTGCATTGATATAAATATCCCTATTCATTGGTGTAAATCGATAGTGTGTTCTTAATTTCGATTCCAATCAATTTATGCTAAAGATTCTCTGTTTTATTATGGAATCCTTCAAACTATTCACAGAATCAAAAAGACTGATAGGAAGTTGCTCATTCATAAAAAACCAGTAGCAAAAATGAGTTCAATTAGTTCCCACTTCTAAGTGATGAACTCAGACCTTTCTAGCACAATGTAATCACAGCTGCTTGGATAGGTGATTAGGTTTAGCTAATTAATATAATTGAAAAGAATATAAACATTGATTAGTTCTGTAATCTCCATGCTAATAAACATGACCAGAACTGAACTGGGTTTTTGAGAGGACGTTTTAGGGTTGAGCAATTTTGCATTCAGTAAATGCTCTTTACGAACAGTGAATGTCCTCGCCACCAATTGAAGCGATGTTGATTTTTAACCAAATGCCAGTTGCAAACTAGAATTTCAAAATATCTTACTGGGAACTGAGGGCATAAGCGACTCTCCCGTCCCCTACCTGTGGAACTTCCATGTGGGTAATTGAGTGAAAAAGATAGGCACCACTTGTAACATTAGCGCTGTGTGCTAATTGTCATTACTTCTGATGTTATTGCCTGCAAACGAATTCTGGTCTTTGGCGTAGCTTATTGCTCAACATCACTTATTCCTTTTTAAATGATGATCATGCAAGTTGGTGCCGTGTTGTTCTGTCCATGAATGCACAAATGAAAACGTCATTGGTATAAATTCAACCAAAACCTACCCGTAAGAATGGAAAAATCCAGTCAATGATTCCATGGCTTTTATTTTAACCATTATCAGGAAAGGGAAATTTTAGCAATGTTTAGTTCGACAAGGCTCTTGTCTAAGTACTCTGCTACTCACACTATTCCATGGCTAGATCAACTCTACTATTCCACGAAACAGTTTTTGGCTAGCATGTACGTGGATGCAACAGGTCCCCTTTCCCTGATTCTTCAATTTCTTTTTTAACGCTAGAAGAGGTCTTGAAAGGTTTAAAATTTAATTTTTAAGAGCAAGGATTAGATTAAAATAATTTTATTAAATGAGCGACAGAGTAGGAATAAAAAATGAAAAATGGGACCCACGTTCCGCGCCTCTGCAAATGGAAAACCTCAGTGACACAAGCAAGTTGCTGTCAAAAGCAAGAAATTTCAGAGATTCCAAGAACAATGTTTCAAAAAACTTGACTTTCAAGCCAGATCGGACCCCCAACGAGCGACCCATTTGGACGAAGCTAGAAGTAGTAAGAAATCAGAGAAGAGAGACGTCTCAAGATCAGAAGGAGAAGAAGAAATGTCAGATAAGACACAACAAAGTAGTAAGCGTATTCAAAGGGGAAAGGGAGCCAGTAAAAAACTAAGGAGAAAATAACTTTAAAACAGCAAATATTGATGGATTGTGTACTGTTTTATACACAAAAGCAGATACGTTAACAAACAAAAAGAATGCGCTGATTTTACAAGTTTTACATAACCACGCAAAAATAACTACAGTAACTGGTGTAAAACCGAAATATTCAACATATTATGTTTCGCAGCTAGATCTCTAGTTCAAGAAGTTCGATTTGTTCATGAATTTTGAATCAGGGAGCAGAGGAGTTTGCATCTATACTCATCAGTTACTTAGAGCTACAGAATGGACACCAGTTATGAGGAAAATTATTGATACTATTTTTATTGAAATATAACCAAAAAAAGGAAAAAAGATCATTACTAGCAAATATCTATAGAAGTCTAATAGAAGGCAATGAGGAAATTAACAAAAAATTAAATGCCTTAATCAGGAGCTTTGACAGTATAAGAAATGCAGAACTTATTGTAAATGGCTTTGAAAAAAGCAAATATTTTATAACTTATTGGCTGAAAGCTTTTTCGTCTGACACTACTCAGAGCATAAAACGTCAAATAAAGGTCCGAAAGAACACGATGAAAAATATATACCAGTGGAGCAAGGGCAGATTTTGTAACAATAGGTTCTTTGGTTTGTTTACCTTTTGTTGACTAGCCAATCAGAGAGCTCTATTTCTATGACGTCATCTGATGGTAATGGCGGATGTAGGGGTTTGCTGTGGAGAAAACCACACCCTCGTTTTTTCCTTGCGACGAAAATATACCTTGAGAAAAACTCAAATTTGTTTGCACCCGTATAGAACGATAAATTTTACATATAATTTTATTGGCACTAAGCTCTGCGTTTTCTGCTCTTTGCGTGCTCGCTCGCTATTGACATCCCTTTTTTGCATGTCCTCAATTGTTCGACGATTGATTACATTGCCGCACAAAAACAAATTCAAAAAATGTAATAGTTTGCATCTGTACAATATTATTTGACAATATAACTGGAAAATAAGGTAAATTGTACTAGGAAAATGAAAGTGAAAATTAAAAACGACGTTTTGAGCATCGCCCTTTGTCAAGTTATAAAACAAATTTAGATTGGCAAAACGACTTTTGAAAATTACATGAGGGTCCACTCGATAATTTATAAGAAACGATTATGTTTTTGAGAAACCCTTCCAAGATGAACCAATACGTTAAAATGTTGCCAACCTTCTTCACTTTTGCTGTTATTAGCTTTTGTTAAAATATTAAACCTTTGCACTACAAGCTTTACGCACATAAACCAATGTGAAATCAACGAAGAGCAGTAAAGTCAGGTGGTTAGAACTCAATTACAAATTGGCCAATGAAACATTATAATTTTTTATAAACTCGTTCTCAAGACACAAAAACTTTTGAAAAACGTGTTTACTTTCAGTTGGGAAGATTATTTGCATGGAGATGCCAACAATCAATTACAAATCATGCATAACATTTAGTAATATTTTACCAGACCATAAACGTTCTTGAAAAGCAGGAATTTTATTCAGTGCAAGCTGCTTTCTTTACCGCTGCGAGTCTTGCTGAAATCGATAGGTACGAGTGTACATTTGTAATTTTTTATCTTGCTTCTTGCAATATTTATGGACAGATTCTGAAAGTTATGATTTTCAATTTCAATTTATAACGATCTGTGAACATTTTGTTCAATTTTGTGCGATGAAGCAAATCAATGTCGATGCAAACTGGTTAGGGCAGAACGTTCGACCATTTGTGTCACGAGAGTTCTTGTTCTTTTTGAACGTGACAAAATTTTATGCTTCTTGTTTTCAAATTATTTTGCAATTGTCTAAATCAGCAGTTTTTTGCATTCAATTATACGAACAATCAAATGATAGCTTTTCTTCGATCATTGTGATAAAACATTATTTCTAGACACTGCTAATGTGTCAGCTCACTTGTTTCCGATGCTACCATCTTGAGGAAAGACCCTCAAAAAGTTTCCTTACACATCTATAATAAGATAAATTTTTTGACGAATAAATAGTTCAACGCCAAAGAAACACAGGAAAAATTCGAGGAAATTAATGGAAAGGTATTTATGAAAATTGTCTTTGAAATTATTTAAAAAATATTTAAAAACAGATTCCTGGCAATATTCAAAACTTTCCGGATACATTCGAGTGGGGAGTGCAGTGTATAGTCCAACCAATGGGAATTTTAAATGACCATCAAACAGCGGTGGGACATTGTGTCTTATCTGCCATCGTCGTATAACCATGTTGATTGCGAGTTTGTTTAGTCACTTTTTCTTATTCGCTTTTCACTCTCCGTCCCGCCGAAATTATGGCTGGACCCCTCCCCCGAAGGGCTAGCGCTACATATCCACCCAAATAGCTATTTTAGGTTGAAAAATGATTTAAAAACACTGTAAGACCCTTTTTGAAACATTCCTTACATCTGCTAGCAGTGCAATTGAAGTCCACTGTTGTTTTTGATAGAGGAGCGTGATTTGTTGGGTTTAGGGCCGAGTCGCCGGAGGGTCGTTGACGCGTTGAGGGCGTGTAAAAAGGGATGTCAATAGCGAGCAATCACGCAAAGAGCAGAAAACGCAGAGCTTAGTGCCAATGAAATTATATGTAAAATTTATCGTTCTATACGGGTGCAAAAAATTTTGAGTTTTCCTCAAAGTATATTTTCGTTGTGAGGAAAAACGAGGGTGTGGTTTTCTCAACAGCAAACCCCTCTATCCGCCATTACCATCAGATGACGCCATAGAAATAGAGCTCCCTGATTGACTATTCAACAAAATGTAAACAAACCAAAGAACCTATTGTTACAAATCTGCCTTTGCTTACCAGTGGTGGGTTGAAATAGACCAATAAAAAAAACGCAAGTACAAGACCGGTATAGTTGACCAATCAGAGCAGCGCGCTTAGAGAAAAATACCACTGGAGTTCAAGAGAGAAAACGAACTCCGTCTGTCTACACAATGGCGGCTTTTTCATTTGAATGTAGATCGACTCCAAAACTGCTAGATGGAAGGACGACCGGGCTCTGCCAATTATCCGAAACATTTCGTCATTGTAGAGTTTTGCACAATCTGGGTTGTCTAAAAGATGTTGACCAATGGCAGAATCACTTGTTTTAGCAGTGTTTCTAGACCTACAAGATCGAGGAGGCTGTTCTCTTTGAGCAGCAGTTTTGTTTCGTATGTTGGAAGGAACATGCTGTTTTATCCTATCCCCCAATCTTTGGGTTGTGCGTCCTACGTAGCCAGAATCACACTATAAATAGCGTAACTTTTTTGGTAGGTAGGAACGGAATCCTTTTGAATGGATGGAAGGGCTCTCCTAGTGCTGTAAACGATACAAGGATTGTCAGCAAAGAAACATTTTGTGATGGTTTGCCTAATCTGACTCTCGATTCGCAAGGAAGAGTTACCAATCCATTGTAGTTTCAAATAAATTCAAGCAGATGCCCTAGAACTTAATGTCATGGGAGATTTCATCTATCTGGAAAGCGATTGGAAAACATCTACTTATAACAAACCGGCTGATAATAAAACATCTTTGTTCATGGAGGCAACAAGAGATGCTTACCTAATTATAACCGAACCAATCCATGCTAGAATAGATTAGAGTAGTAACATCCTTGATTTAGTATTTACAAATGAAGGAGGTCTGGTTGAAGATTTTATTATTGGTTCACCTTTGGGTAAGAG